TATATCCCAATTGGAAGAGGACTTTGTTCATGCTACTCGCACCGACCATGATGAAGGCATATGGGAAAATATTAATACAATCTAAGTTATGTTTCTATTTATTTATTTATTTTTTTAACATGTAATTGAGGAGACTTTGCATGTGTATTGATATAATTGTATGTTTTTTTCATTATAGGTAAATGGCATGTCCTCCACCATCTCCTCCACCATCTCCACCACCATCTCCTCAGGCATATGGAAAGACATTTTCTAGTAAGAGGAGTCGACAATTTACACGGTTGAAAGGCTTGACCATTAGACACATATCTGGCCAGAAGTTATCTGTGTCTGTTGATCCTAGGACTCGGCAAGGTGTCAGGTCCCTTTAGTACCCAATTTAGTAGCTACTTGGGTACACTAGCTAGAGAGAAGGTATTTATTCTATTTGAAAGTGAATTTCATTTCAAATATATTGCTGATACTTATGTTGTTTATGTTGTGTAGATATCTATTATCTATCCTAGTTGGGATCATGTGGAGGAAACTGTGAAGAACTTGTTATGGCAAGATCTTCTTGTAAGTATGTGTATTTAGTTGTTTATACATTATTATCAATTGGTTAACTAAAACTTGTTTGCTACTGTAGGAACACTTTGATATAGTCAATTCCGAGGATGTGAAGAGGAAGATAATGACAACCTATAGCAAAAATGTGGAGACAGCTCAAGTCCACATTGACCACTAAATGGGTGTATGCCGAGGACAAAGTTAGGAAGGGATTAACCCCTTGCCAAAGATATGGCATAGATGAGGACACTTGGAAGAAGTTTGTACATAGTAGGACTCGGTTCGAGTGGGAGGTAATGTTAATTGCTTAATTGACTTGAACATTTTATAATGAGTTGTGTATCTAATATTGTGTTCAATTATGTTGCAGGAAAGAAAACAAAAAGCAAAAGACATTCAGAGCCAAAATGTCGCCCCCACCTTCTGTCTCGTGGTGGGTACGACCTATTGACAAAGAAGATGATGGAGGAGAAGATGAGACTTCGACAGTCGAGTTAGCCTCTTCTCGGTTTAAGCGAAGAGCAAATTCTTCCACCATCTCCTCCAAAACGTCACCAGAAGTGGAAGAGGGCTCGTACAAAGCCTTCTCGGTGACATGACATCGCAGAAGCCCGAGAAATTGCTGCTCTGGATTGTAAGTAAAAGAAGTTAATTTACTTTGAATTAGTTATATGTAACATGTTCATTAATAAAATTAACTTTTATAATGTAGGATGCCTTGGAGGAGCAAGTGTACACATGGAACTTTCATCCCTTCTAGTCGTCAGGATATCTTGACCATCGCTATTGGACGACCGTAACATCCAGGTCGTGTTCGAGCCGTTGGCCAAGGTGTGGGTGTCCGACGTATTTTGGACCACCATCACAGGATATCCGCACCTCCACATCCCCGAGCCAAGAAGATATTGCTGCCTTGGAGATGGCTCTCACAGAGAAATTGACACCAGCCCATCGGGGCAAAATTGGAGGAAGAGTTGACTCCCGCCATCGCCGCACGACTTGAGGAGACCATCACCGCACGTGTGCAGGAGCAGCTCTCGCGTATGACCTCCATGGGTACTTCATTTGCCGATGCTCGTCCTCCATCGGGTATATTTTCAACCACAAATTGGTACTTGACTTGTGTTTCTAAAATCTTAGTCCTTATTGGAATTTACTCGTATTTGTAGGTCCAAGAGTTAGCACAAAGGGCAGTTGTGCTGAAGCCACTATCGAGGTCACACTCGAGGTGGCATCTATTCATCCCGAATCCACAAAGGATGATCGATATGGCTTGTGGGTTGAGGTAGATGAAGGTCTAAGACTAGTGGCCCATGGATCAGTTCATGAAGGGGCTTCAACCATCCACAATGTGCCTTTGGATCCTAACTTGGTCAAAGTAGTGGTTGAAAAGGTGGTTGACGCCGAGGCTAGTGTCCCTATCCCCACCGAAGAGGTGCAGACAATGGGCCAAGCCCTTCGGACCTTCATTACTTGGCCCCGACATTTAGTTAGGTCAATCATGGCAAAGGTATGTATATGTATGGTTATAATACATCTAACACATAAATAAATTGATTTATTGTTTATGATTATATTTTATAAAATATGTAGGAAGTTCAGCAGCCCAAAAGACTTGGGTAAAGCTATTACCACTCCTTCCGGATCTAAGGAGAAGACACCAGTTGTGGAGACTTCTCCAAATCCAATTTTGATCTCTTGTCTCTTTCCCCACAATTGTATATGCAGTCATTCCAAGTTCCATGGGATTGTACATTATTTGGGATGACTTCTAGCAATATCCCCTATACATTTCCCACACCGATGCCCTGAAGATTGGGATGGGCAATCAATGTCTAAATATAGTCGTTTTACAATTTTGGACATTGTAAGTTCATATCTTTCATGACTCTTTTCATTTTAGTAAATATATAAGCTATAAGTTCACTTAAATTGGCATATTTTAGGATGATGCACGAAATGATAGTGGAGCAGTGGCATTGGTCATGTGTATGGATTCTTCAAGCCTCAATCCATACAAAAGTCTGGAATAAGCGTGATCAAATTCTCGCTACATGCGAATTGGATCACCGATTCTAAAAGAGATATTTACCTTGGAGCATACCATCATTCGTAAGTTATCCCAGCCTCTTCTGGTTTTACACAAGTTTTTTTAATAGATTCTAATCATGTGTATATACGTAAACCACTGACAGACTATTAGTTATTTGTCCAAAGCAGAATCTTGTGTGTTGGTTCTGCTCATTGGGAAGGAAACCTGACATGGAGCTAAAAAATATTGTAAACAAGTAAGTATTTCTTATATTATGTCTAAACATCTTGATTATTCTATTTCTAACCCCCTTCTTTTCAATATATAGTGCTCTAAAGGTTTGTATTACATTAGGTGGAAAACACACAAGTAAAAGCACAGACTCCAAATTGGAATTTTATCAAAGTAAGTAGCCTTTATATATATTATATTATCTATTAATTTATGTTCAAATTTAATAGTTATTTTTAACATATTTAGTCATTTTTAGTGTAACAAACAAAATGGAGGATACGAAGTGCGCTACTATGTAATGTATTGGATGTGGCTCATCATTTTTGGTAGCATTCAGTGATAGTTGGAATGAGGTAAGTTGACATTTGCTATTATATTCAATTCCTTTATTTTTATTGCTTAGGGTTTACCATTCTATTATTGTGAACTTTTTACGGACATTTAAAGATATAGAACCTTTGCCTATGGATACTATAGACATGGTTAGAAACAAATGGGCAGAAAAGTTTGCACAAGTAGTTAGGAATAGGATTGATTGATAATTTTTTGTGTATTTTGTACATAATTTGGCTTATTTGGACATATATATCTATCATTTTATATATTAGTGATTAGCTGAAATAAATATACTGTCTGGACTGAGATTACAGCAGGTCGTGAACTGTTGGTGGCACTTAAACAGACCTACATTTAAAAAAAAAGAGGATATTCAACGTCGGTTATTGCATTAACCGACGTTGTAACGTCGGTCGCTTGAGCGATACAGAGGTCGCTTGAGCGATACAGAACCCGAGAGTCCCCTTTGTTTGAAGGTTTCGTCGCTCAAGCGAGTACACCGGTCGCTTGAGTGAGAAAGGACTTTCAACGTCGGTTAGTTCAATAACCGACGTAGAATTTACTAATTTCTACGACGGACATTTGGTTAACCGACGTAGATATATATCACTTTCAACGTCGGGTATTCTGAACCGACGTAGAATCCTTTGACATTCAACGACGCCTGAATCAACGACGTCATTGGAACCGACGTTGAATGTCTTCCACACCCGACGTTGAATGATCATTCTGTAGTAGTGAGTATTATATAAGAAAAAATAATTTTCAAAATAAGTATTATTTTAATTATTTATTGTAATATTTTTACTTTTATTTTATCCTAACAATTTTCTCTTCATAACCTTTCCATTATATTTTTTAAATAATTTTATAGTTTATTTAATGACCCATTTACTTTACATTCAATCCTTAATAAGATTACCCTTATAAGTTTATTATGAAGTAAAAAAAATAGAAAATAGAAGTTTTTATAATTATTTTATTTATATAAAATTGCTTTAAAAACATATAAAAATAATGACATATGTTATTGTTTCTATAAAAAAAAAAGATTAATAACAAGTGAATTTTATAAAATTGTTACATTCTTTTATTTATTTATTAGTTTTTTATCTGTAAAAGACATTTCTTACTACAGAGAGTAGAATGAAAGATGAATAAGTTAGATTTAAATTTATGTTCATGTATTCATACGCCGTTCAGTATACATAGAATATAATATTCAGAATACAAATTATATTTATATTTTATGTGTTCCCTTCTCTTATCTCTGACTATTAAAACTGATAAAGTAGCAAAAAGTAATGGAAACATTCATTCATTCATTCATTCCCTTTTCTACTTCCTGCAACTGAGTTTCAACTAAAATACAAAACCTACCATCATTTCTCTTTCTTTCAACTTCATTTCACACACCTACCTTCAGCCTCACTTCATCTTCGTCTTCATCCTCATCCTCATCCTCATCTATATCCAATTCCATGGACACAGCTCAGTGGCCACAGGTAAATGAATTACATCTAACACTAACCTCATTGCTAGCTTTTGATTCCTTTTGTGGAGCTGGTGCAAGTGAAACTACGTGCCCACTTATCAATATACTCATATATCTATCAATTTTCTTTAGCATATATTCTACCTTTCGCTTTCTCACTTTTTCCTATGCTTTTCCCACTTGAAAAGTCCTGATTTAGTTTCTCCTTCTACATCTCTTTCTTTAGCAACAACAAAAATATATATCATAGTAACAATTATATACACAATATCCTTTCTCTTTAATTTAACCTGAATTTGCTTGTTATGTGGACTAGACACACCTGCATGGTTTGATTAATTAATTTGTTTGCGCATGATCTTGAAGGAGATGGTGGTGAAACCAATAGAAGATATAGTAGTGACAAATACATGTCCAAAGGTTGCAGGTGCTGTGGAAAGGAAGCCAAGGCCACAGAAAGAACAAGCTCTCAACTGTCCGAGGTGCCATTCAATTAACACCAAGTTCTGCTACTACAACAACTATAGCCTCACACAGCCTCGCTATTTCTGCAAGACTTGTAGAAGGTATTGGACTGAAGGTGGATCCCTCAGAAACATCCCTGTAGGAGGTGGTTCCAGGAAGAACAAGAGATCTTCTGCTTTTGGTTCCACTCCTAACAGCAATTCACCCGTCAAGAAGCTTCCTGATCAGGTCATCACACCTCCATCTTTGTCACACTCCCAAAACCCTAAGAATAATAATATTCATCAAGGCCAAGATCTCAATCTGGCTTTCCCCGCCACCACCCCAGATTTCAGAAACATCTCTGAATTTGTTCGAGAAAACAACAACAATAGTGGCAACAGCATGTCTGCTTCGGCCTCTTCTTCTTCAACTACTACTACCACCACACCCACAACTTCTCACCTTTCTGCATTGGAGCTTCTTACTGGGATCACATCAACTTCCACTGGCTTGAATTCTTTCATGCCTGTGCCAGTTCCAGCTGATCCAAATTCTGTCTATACTTGTGGTTTTCCTCTGCAGGATTTCAAGCCTAGCTTGAATTTCTCTTTAGACGGAATTGGACACGGGTACGCGAGCCTGCATAATGTTCAAAGTGGGAGGCTCTTGTTTCCATTTGAGGACTTAAAACAGGTTTCCACCACCACCACAATGGATCAGAAGCAACAAGGAGATTCAACTGGGTATTGGACTGGAATGTTAGGCGGAGGATCATGGTAATTAATCAAGAGAGTCATAAATATATTTTATCTACTTTCTTCTCTTCGCTTTCTACCTAGTTAATTTTCTTTTGAACTTTTTTGGGTTTTAATGAGTTTCCTTCAGATCATGGAGACTTCTCCATTTGTTTGGATTTCTTCATAACTGGCTAACAGCTGATAGGATCGATTCATACGTGGCTTTCTTTTCCTCTTCTGTCAATTTCTTGTGTATCTAGCTCCTCTTACCTTCATGACCAAGCTCCATGGGATCTTGAAATGAAGCTTATTTTAGCCAGGCTTCAGCAGTACTCGGAAAAGTAAACAAGGGTTACGGTTATATTAATTTGAGTATATGTAATGATATAAGAGATCAAGATTAACCCCATTTTTTTAGGGTTAACAAGTAGCTAGAAAGAGGGGCCGGGTACTACATCAAGTGTTACCCTTTTCATGTAATTTCTTCCATCACAGAAGCAGTGCACCATCATCAATTGGTTTGATTGGCTTGCTTACCCTATTGGAAAAACTGTATAATCTACAAGAGTATGTTATATTATGGTTTAGGAATGTCTCATTGTAAACATTTGGATATGTGAATATCTATGTGATGGTTGTTTAAATGTTTATCTACCCTTCCCTTCTCTTTCTATTGTGCATTGTTTTAATTCAGGTTTAAAGTGAAGGTGTGAGTTGCAGCAAAACTAGATTTATGATCATATTCTCCACATAAAAAAAAAAAAAAAAAGTGTTATGATGTGTACTGTGATTAGCTAGGGGAGAATAAAGGCCAGGTGAGAGTTCTGATATCTTCACGTGACATCCCATTAAAGAAGTAGTAACATTGATTAACTAGAGTCATCATAACAACAAACTATAAAGCTGCTTCAATCAAAACCCCACCTACCAGCCTCCACAATAATACTATGTAGTAGCTCTCTTTATTTTCTTCTGGTTTGCAATCAGGTAAGATTTAAGAGGGAACTTTTTCTATGATGCAGAGAAAGATAGTATGGAAAAATGAAAATGGTTTTGAAATTGGGAGTGTTGAAGAGGGAGGAATGATTCGTGCTCATTTTTTCTCTTTCCTTCTCTCTCACTCTCATTGACACCATTGAATGATGATTGCTTGCGTCTCACCTCTTCTTCCTTTTCTCCAAATTGAAAGAAAGAAAAAAAGTGACAAGGATCTGACACATGACATACCCTGTTATCTTCTATTTTCCTCCTTCTTTTTTCCATGTGGGGCCCCATAAACATTCCCCTTGGTTTGTGTGCTAATGAGAATAATTATACACTCTCTCAGTCCCACTTGCTTCATCAATTCATCTACATTGCTACCCAACTTCTCTTCTTTAAGCTTGCTTGTCTTTTTCACCTTCTTCTGCGCTGTAAGCCACTATTGATGATATTAAACAAAATAATATCCTCTCTTTTGTCACCTTTCATTTGTTGTTTTATGCAATTTCATTCAACAACATATTGGTTTAAGAAGACAACAATGACAGATTAGAGATACGTAGTTATGAATTTGCAACAATATCATATTTCAACTTAAAAGTATAATAAAACCGAAAATATTTCTGAAATAGGGATTAACTTTTTGTGGATATTTTCAGGGATTAACACATAAATATTATCCGTCAAGGAATCAGTATTTATCAATCATAGAATGATATATATATATATATATATATATATATATATATATATATATATATATTTTAACATTTTATTCAATTTATATGCTTCTGATTAGAGTTTATTAAATAGTGGCTTATAAATACATTAATTATTGATTAATCATGTTTAATATTCTAATGTTAAAGTATGATAAAATATAATAAAAATATGATTTTTTAAAAATATAAAAACTTGAATTTGAACATATAAGTGTTTTTAGAATTTATTATTTTATGAGATAATGATTTATAACATTACTAATTATCACAAATCTCATATATGATTTATATGCGTGAAAAATACAGCTTATATAAATTAAGATCATAATATAATTTATATTTACAAAATTATTTACTATAAATTTAATTATGTTAAATATATATTTATAATTTGTTAAAAAAATATAAAGTACTTTTTAAGAAAAAAATATTGACCCATGGGCAAACGAATTGGGCCTAAAGCCTTTAGAAATATGAATCGGGCTAAAAAAAATCATTATTCCATAATTAAATAGATCTAACTTAGCTAAACCTAAAAATGCAACGATTAGTCATGAATCACCCTGAATTGTTAGATTTAATATTTTCATTTATTTTATTTATTATTTTTAATATATTTGACTAAATAATATTAATATTGTATTTTACAACCATTCAAATTTGATTATTTTTTTGGAGAAAATAACTCTTTATTTAACAACGTAAGTTAAAGAATGTCAATATTATGGTTTAAGCACGTATATTTTGTTTTATACATATATATATATATATATATATATATATATATATATATATATATATATATATATATATTCATAAATTAGTTTTTTTTTTTTGCAATTAATAGTGATTTTTGTCATAGTTTTGAATTGGTTGAACTTGAATACTTTCTTCGTAGATTGTGGTCCAGGAAGCAATAGTGGGCCTCCAATGTTCAACACTATCACTTGGGCTTCAATCAACTTTTATGTCTATACTTTTTTCTTATATATATATATATATTGGAAAAATTATAAAATAATAATAAATTCTATAAAAAAAATTAAAAAGAATAAAGTAAAAAAAAAAAGAAAAAGGATTGCTTGGTGGTATTTTGACCATTGACTATGATGTTACTTGAAATGAAATTAAAGTGATGATGGGAAAGCTATGATAACACCATTTTCTTCTTAATTAATCTCCAATTTTGGCAATGAACAAGTTAATTCTCACCTATTAAGAACAACCAAAAGGATAATGGAGCTTGTAATCAATGCTTAATTATTTACACTTTTGGTGGAATTTCAAAATCAACCATTGACTAAGATTACAGTGAATAACAGCTTCAAAAGTCATCATACAAATAAAAAAAATTAACTCAGTTGACTTTCTAAAGAACTCAATTAATTCACCAAATGCTATCATAACAAATATTACAATCAACCTATATATGTTTGGAGACACATTATCATTATTATAATTGTGTTTAGCAACCTTTAAGCAATACTTAATTAAGCTCCTCAGCCAAAAAAAATACAAAATGGGATCGAATATTCAGTTTAAACATAAAATCGAAAATATAGATACCACTTCGGAATTTATACATTTTATTTTAAAAATAATTATAGTAATTCGAAACTTTCAATTAGTTCCGGTTACCAATATTAATCTTCTTTTTTACAATATATACTCATTCGGATTTTTTTTTCTTAGTTTTCTGAGTAAAAAAAATTATAGAAAAGAAAAACATATTACTAAGTGAGAATTATATTAATTATACATTATCTATAATTTTTTGAGTTCATCCATTTTTTTTATTGTACTGACTTGACTTAGTTTAATTTTTAGTTTTAATAACAGTAACTAGTTTAAATAAAAAAAGAAAGATGATAATAAAAAAATATTTTTATAATTTATAATTACCTTTTTAATAATATAAGATAAAACATAAATATTAATGCCGAAAACACATATTGTATATATATATATATATATATATATATATATATATATATATATATATATATTATAGTGTTAAAAAATAGAAAAATAAAATAAATTAACAACTATTTTAATAAAACAGTTATTTTTTAGTAAAACAAGTAAAATTGAATACTTTTAAAAATAATAATAAAAAGGTGATTTTAAATTTTAGTCAATTATAATTTTATCTTGTTAGATTAAGAGAAAGTGACATATATAAATTAAAAATCAACATCAATGATAATTATATATCCTCTTATTTGAATCTATTAAAATATATTTTTAAAATAAAATAATGAGAAACTAAATTTGTTAATAAATATAATATTTAATAAATATAAGATATTGTTGATATTAAATAAAATATTTTATAAATATGATACATGAGTACGGTAATAACAAAAATTGTAATTTTTATTTTTATTTACAAAAAATTGAACATGGTTAATTGTTGACATGTGATTATTTATAAAAATAATTATAATATGTAAACATATGTGGTGCTGTGGTGGAAGGCTCGGTTGTACTTTGATCTTAGGTGCAAAGTAGAATGCAATGCGATGTTTCATTAAAACGCGACACAAGTGAAACCAAATACTATTTTCTTCCACAACCACATATAAATTTATTAAAAACATTATAAAGAGATAAAACTTATACATGTTTTTATTGAATTAAAACGATAATGTTAAAAATTGATAAAAGAGTAAGAAAAGGTAAATAGATTATTGATAAGATTAAGAAAAAGAAAAGATAGGTGTGGAGTGGAGCCTAGAGCACCGTGGACCGAAAAGAGAGTGAGAAGAGAAAATTTTGATGGTGGGAAGACAACATGGGAAAAGTGGGGAAGGGAAGGGTGAGTGTCTCACTTTGTTGGACAACATTATTAACATATAAATGACTAAAGCCTGTGCTTATGTCGTCAACCACCTTCGAGGAGTGGTCCTGTTATTGTCACCTTTGTCTCTCCCTCACACTCTAACTGTCACATTCTCTTTCTCACCACAATTTACAATATGCTTCCATCATTTTTTTATTTTTTTATTTTTTTATTATTCCATATTTATTATAGAATCTTTTCATCGTATCACTCAACATCTAAATGCATTCAAACGCTCGTAAAAAAAAAAAAAAAAAAAAAACTTCTAATGTTGTATCGTTTTAGGTTTCAAAAATTATATTCTTTATTTAAAAATAGACTAAAACATAAATTTATTGACTTGTGAGAAAAAAAGTATTACATTCTTTAAATCAGTATAATTTTTTGTATTTTCTTCTTATTCCTAATATCAATTACATATATTAAATATTAACCGAGTATTTATAAATAGATTGATTAGTTACATCTAATTATTAAAAACTAGCAAAATATGATAATAAATGAATAATCATTTATAAAAAGTATGAATAACTTAAGGAAAGATTATTTTTTTTAAGCTTTCTCAATAGCGTAAACTTTCTGTTCTTGGCTTTCGCGGTAGTTCCTTCTTCAAAAGGTGTCACTTTTAATTTCTTTATTGTAATGTAAATTCACTGAACAATTTCAAAAAGGTGAATTATTTATGTTTAAGATTTATTCATGATTCACTCGCCAAATTTTCTTCACTGTCTTCTTTATGATTAAGTTTTTCTTAACCAAATATTTTCAATAAAAAAATTACACATGTTCTCTTAATTTTTCATTAATTAAATTTAAATCGAACAATAAATTTTACAAAAAAATATATCTTAAAAATAAGTTCTTATTTTAATCTTACAAAATTAATTCAATATTTATTATTTATTTTATTTTGTGAAATTTTTCTTATAATACTTTTTATCTTAATTAAGAAAAAAAATATTTTACCCATTTTGTGGATATAGATTTTCATATCCTAATATTGTTAAAATGATTCTAATATCATATTAAAAATATAGTAAAATATTTTGTGTCTCCTTCTAAATTCTTTTACACTTTTTTCTATTATTATGTATGATAATAAAATATTATTGATAAATAATAAATAAAAATTCATTATTTTAATAGCTAATCTATTTTTTCTTTTTATAACGTGTATTTATTAGGTGATGTAAAAAAAATAAAAAAATAAATTTAAATAAAATGTAATTTAAACTTTGTTTTTGGAATGATTGAAATAAACTTTTTAGCCTATAGTAAATCAATGAGAAGTGCCAAGATTTGAACCTAATCATGACCCTACCCCAACTTTCCTCATACAAGATGTTGGCAATCAACCAACACTTACAATACAAGCAAATCCGCTTCCAGATTTTAAGAGCTTTGAACCACAATTCTACCCCTTTCATTATAGTTTGGTCAAATCTTGAGCGCAGTAACTAGCTATTAACACAACACAACTAATTAAAACTTAAAATAGTAATGACAATAAAAATACAAAATAAAAAATAATTAAATATTATTTTAAACTCATTAATTGAACAACGAGAAACACAATCACATGTGCCACCGTTGGAGTAAAGAGAACATGGCACGATAATTAGTAATAACTGATCATAATACTTTTCTGTCTTATTCCCCGTAACATAGGACCCATCGCCCCTCACTCAAAGGCCAAACCTACAACTTTCAACTCTCAGTTTAAAACCAAACATTATAAAGCTATGCTGCATTGTTTGAATTCCACACATTATGATTCAAATTTAAAGGGTCAAAACAAATCTCTCTAGTTCCTTCAATTCATCATTTGTAGGACCTTACAATGAATCACTCCATTTCTAATTCTCACCCACCCAAACTAGAGATATAATTCATTTATAATATATAATTAAAGTTTATGTTAGACGCTTGCTTATTTTTAATATAGTTTTAAAGTTTATATCTTTTTAATTTTGTTATTTACCATTCTATATTTGTAATCTCCCCATTAATTAAATATTAAATATATAAATACCACCTTAAAAATTGGTTTTATAGGAATGAATGAAACCAATCTTAATTTATACTAATAATTAAGAATACCCTTTACAATCTCAACGAACAAGCTAGAAGGCTATTTAACGATCACAACAGAGCTGGTGCATGTAGCTGCTATGAAATCGTGTGGACACAAACAAAGCTTTGAAAAATGACATGGATATATACAAGTCAATAGAACTTAAACTTATGGAAGAAGATTGAATTGGACATGTCCTTTGAACAGTGTTGTTGATTAGGTGGTCGTCATTGATTGAAAATCATAGGGTCGTTGAACACAACAAGCAGTGTCTTTTCAAGTTTCATAATCTATTTTTTAGTTTAATGTATTTTGTTTAGGGTATGTGTTTGTGTGTCAGAAAAGAACAGAAAAGAAAGTGAGTGATTAAAAAAGGTATATTTTTCACGTTGCTAATGAAAGTGTTGTTTATTTAGTGAGGAAAGGGATATAATTTTGTCCCCTTCACCCACCACACGCTTCATTATGGCTGTTGAGTGCCATCATACTCCATCCAAAAGTTCTACTCATTTTACCATCCTCTCTAATAACATTTTTTTTTACAATTAAATGTTTATTAAAATCACCATAGCATGCAGGGTAAACTTTATATAATTCAATTATTTTGTATATTTTTTTCTGATATATATAATGAATTAGATGACTAGTTTGTAATGTTTTTAATTTTTTTTTGTCAAAATCTTTATATTAGAAATGTATGACATAAATTAGGTTGTGTACTTGGAGCTGCATTAGAAAAATACTTGATGAAGAAAAAAAGGTATACAAGATCATCTCATTTTTGTGTAAAATCTTAATAGTAATGTGATATATTAACTTCACATATCAGAGCATAATCTCCTGCATTAAACATAATTAAAGTTCTTAATTTTTAGTCAAGTTCCTAATCTTATTTAACGTGAGCGATTTTTTTGTTATTATAGTTCTTAGGATATTAGAAGTTATAAGAATGAAATATTAGAGAATATTACAGCATATTATTCAAAGAGTTGGTTTATATAAAATATAAAAATAATGTCCATAATTATTAATTTCGGAAATTAAATTAACATTGCATACTTATGAAGATATTCATTTGCAAGAAATTTATTCCGATGAAAATATTTTACAGAATTTTTAAGTTATGTAGAAATAACTTTCTTTAAATGTAAAAAATAACTAAACTTTTTCATCTTCCTCCATAAAGTGGAACGTTGATCACCTAACTAATTTGATATAAAATAAATTTAATTTAATTAATAATTGAAAACCTGAACTAACTATGTAAACATATTAAATATTCTTAAAATTTATTATTTTAAATAATGTTAGTTCAAACACAATTACATGCAGGAATATATATAATCATAAGCGAAAACACACTGAAAAGTGAAGAAAATTGCAATTGGAGTAATAAAAAGAAAAGTGAGGAATATTTATGGTGAGAAACGAGGAGAGAAGAAGACGAAGGGGAAGGCAAATCTTTTTTGCCTTGGAACTAGGAAAGGACAGTAACAGTACTACTGATCCCAGATTCAAGTACGAAAAATATTACACAAATCATTTTTAGTCATACTAATATTTTTAAAATTTCTTCTTCTATTTCCCTATTAATTCTGTTCAATAAAAATATTTATGTTTAGAAATAAAAAAATGTATTTAAATATAGAGATTGAAAGATGATTTTTGTGAATATAAAATTAAATAAGTAGTTAAATTAAATATAAAATAGTTACCTTCATAAATGAGAATGTTTTTTAGTATTATTTTCTCACCATTATTAACATAAATATAATATTCATAAAAAATTGAATAATAGCAAAACACCTCAAGATCACTGTAGAAGGTATCATCAACAGTTCTGTGAATGTAGCAAGAGCACGGGGCGCAAGATACTTTATAAATATAAACAACAGTAACACACAAGATTATTGTGTATTAATTAATTACGATCTAGTATTGCATGGTATGAACAACTTTTCATAATATGATAAGATTCTCAAACTCAATGCTCGTAAATTATAATTATTCCCATTCATTAGTGTTAATTATTAACAATTATGATATAATCACGAGAAAATATTAATATTCTGATCTAAACTCGAAATCCTAGCATACATGCGTATCTGTATGCCAATGATGACCAGAGTTCTGGTTTAAATTTCAGGATATAGTAGTTTTTCATTGTGATTCCCAGGATATTGTAATAAATTGGTACTATTATTTACACTTTTTGTGAATGAAGAAGAAGAATATGTGAAATCATGAAGAGTTATAAGTAGATGGGATAAAGAATGAAAGTGAAGTTGGGGAATATTTGTAGGCAGTAGTGAGAGAGAGGGACCAGTGGTGGGGAAGTTGATGTCGTAAGCTGTGTTGGAAATTGGAAGCTAGGAAAGAGGAAAGAGAGAGTAGGGTAATGGATGTTGTAGGTTTTTTGCTCTTTAAACAAACACAACTACTGGTTACTACTACAACAATAACATTACTATAATATTATATAGATATATTCAATTCAATACATGTCTGTTCAGACATGTATTATGTTATCAGATTTGATTCAAAGTGACAATAGGCCAAACCTGACAACATTTCTGTTCAGACTTTGCCTTTCCTTTTTCTTCCTGTGTTTGACACTTTGACATTTCTCAGCTTGTTGAGTGAATATTCGCTTTTGGGGCCCTCCCTGCCTTCTCTTCAATTCACCATTTTTCTTTTCTTTCTCTTTTGCTATATATTCTACACTTTACTTGTTCATGCACTGGTAATAACCACTTTGTTAATGGCAATGACAATGCCTCTTACTCTAAGAAATAAGCTCAAGACTCTTTGTTCTTCTGCTCTTGGCTGGTCTTATGCTGTTTTCTGGCGCTTTCATCCACGCAATTCCTTGTAAGCATTTTCCTCTTTTTCTTCTTCTTCTTCTTCTTCCCTTCTCTTCTATTATATCAATTGTGTTTGATATTGTACTAGGTAGCACAAACGTTTCATACTCCAAATTATTCATCTGTCACCTTGGCAAAGAATGCTTTCACATTTTGATCTTTCTCAACGTAGATTGCATTGCATGTTGGAATTTCTTGTAGGTTGTTGACTGTGGAAGAAGCATACTATGAAGAGCATCTGGGAGAAGAGATTGCCAACATGCATCCTCAGGTCCACTTGCTGGGTGAAGGGTATGCTCAAATTGTTGTTTAGTTTAGTTTCTCTTTTCCAAAATTACATAATTTTCACGAGACCAGTGAAAGTGGAGATTCGTTTCAACTGAGAAACCTAAATGATATATTTATCAATGAAAGACAAAGGGCTGAACAGTTTACTTGTCCTATCTAGAATTGTTGGTGAAGCTGCTTTCACGGGCAAGCACAGTTGGGTACACTCAGATGGTCAAACTCATGATTGGAATCTGACTGGGCAAAGTATTTGTGAGGTATTGTTTTCAACTGTTGAGTTTGTGCCATTTATTCCAATTCAACTTTCGATCGCTCTTGTTTTTTGTCCATTTATCACTAAAGAATTTTTTCTTTTTGCAGGATAATTCTGAATTGCATCAACAGTTTTCCTCTGGAATAAAGGTATTACAAAGGAAGAAAATGTATTTTTTTTTTTTTTTTCAGATTTCGTATTTTTCCTTCTCACCTCTCTTTCAACACTTCTTCCCTTCAGAAATATAATTATTTTGGTTAAAGTTGCCACGATAATTCAATGCCATAGAAAGTATGCTTGTTTCATTATCTCTGTTTTCTTCAAAGCCATGATCAATGTGTATTGATAACATTTCTGCTTTGTAGACTATTGTGGTCATACCTGTCAAAGCATTGGGAGTGATACAGTTTGGATCCAGAAATAAGGTTAGTATCATGAAAGAACACGATTTTGTTATATCATGCATAAATGAATTTATACTTGGGAGTTTTATTATGATAACCAGCACATGAAGCACAATGTGTCCTGGTTTTTGTACTTAATTTTAGCTGTCAGATTTTGCAGAAAGTTTTAAATGTGAATTTTATTTTTAAATAGGGAGTATGCCCTCGATAATATTTTTTTTTTGGTGATTGATTGTTTAATAATTAATATTATATAGAGATTATTGTTCAAGAAACAGAAAACCTTAAATTTCTACACATTATTTAGGTTTCTTGTAGTCCATATTATGACATTCCACAGTGTCAAAGCTTGCTGAATTCCCGTTTATGAGAGTAATTCTTTATCTGATAGACTGGAAAGTAGAAGTTTATACTAATGTTTCATCTGGAAGAGTAACTTAGCGTGACAAACAAAACTATAAAAACAGCATGCCCATATTGTTATGATAGGATGTACTCGTGTGTATTTAACATTAGCCATTTCTTTGCTTAAGTTATGTGCTATGTGACATGCACAATTCACTACAATACGTGCTCTTTTGGTTCCGTAGTTGTTTGCATAGTGTGTTCCTTTTCAATTCTACTAGCTCACTTAATGTTTTTTTCTTCATGGCTAATAAATAATTAATGATCTTGAAATATTTATCTACACAAATGAGTATCTCAGTGCTAATGGATTGTATCATAATACTTTCATTACTGCAGATTTTGGAGAGAGTGGAATTTTTGGAGCAAACGCGAAGCATGCTCACAGAAATAGATGCTGATATGGGTATGTTTGACATGTCAGAAAATCCAGTTCAACCACTGGAAAGTGAAAATAACTATTTAAATGGGATGTTGGCTTCCATTTCTTCTGCAAGTCCCAACGATCCCTTCCCTTCCAAATACAAGACTTATGAAGAAGCAGCAGCTTCATATCAAGGAGATTCTTCGTATCTTGGTGACCAATCGAAAGGTACCATGGAAGCTCAAGTTGTATTATCAGATAGGAATAGTAATGACGTGCTTTTGAAGCCTAACTCTTCTACGGTCAACTTAATTGCCAAAACCCCCCATCTTGGTTTATGTGATAATGAATTATCTCCTTTTGATTTGTTGGAGCAACAATTGATTTCCAGTGCTAGGGGACAAGATGTTGCAGATGTATGTTTTATGAATGAAAATGCATTTGCTACTAGCAAACTTCCAGTTCAGGATGCGGGGTTGGCCCCATTGTGCAGTATGGACAGAGGGTCATTTCAAGGAAAATTACAAAATTCACTGGATAACCAATATTCAGCTCAGTCTAGTGTTGTGACAGATGTTGATTTTTCCTCCAGTTCATATGCATTGCATGGACACTCTGAGAACATAGAGCCAGTTGATATGTCAGAAGAAATTTTGAAGTTCAGCTCCATGGATGATCTTTGCCACTTGTTTGGTCCTTCTTCAGAGGATAGCATCTGCAAAACAGTAATTGCATTGGATAACACCTTTTCTGAATCAACAGAATTTAATCCCACTATCTTTGATCTGGTTGGAAGTGGTTCTTTACATGATGCTTTAGCGACAGGCCTAGCTGGGTTTAATTCCAACTCAGATGGGAAAGAAAAATCTCTGGTTATGCATAACACTGGAAAAGGTCTCTTGGATGTCATGGAAATAGATTTTAGCTATGATCAAGCCGATGGATGGTGGGGGAATACGCTTACACCAGTGGTGAGTGGTGTTACTGACACTGGCTTTTCTGAATGCATATCAGAGTTGAATACTGGTACACTACCTGGCACCCGGAAGAGATTGTTCTCAGAGTTAGATATTGAAGAGCTTTTGAGGGGTGGAGCAAATTACAATCTTTTTAATAGTTCGGAATTTGAGTGGGGGTTATCACCCAATAAGAGGCAGACAGTAGAATCTTCATCTATGAATAGCAATACAATACATTTCACCAACCTTCATAGGCCTGCGACTAGAGCAGACTTGATGCAGCCTCTTGGTGACTTGGACAGCACAAACAATCTCCCAAGCAAGAAAGATACATTTTCAAAATTACAAGCAGCCATGTGGCTTGATGATAGCCATAGCATTAATATTGGAAAGGCTGCTCCACAACACCCTCAAAAGCCAGAGGAACCCGCAAAGCCCACCAAGAAGAGAGCTAGGCCAGGGGAGAGTACTCGACCACGGCCAAAAGATCGTCAGCAAATCCAAGACTGTATTAAAGAATTGAGAGGAATCATCCCCCATGGTGGAAAGGTGAATGAAGCTTTAACTGACCTATGCTAAGAATAAATCTTCTAATTTTTTTTATTTTTATTTTTTTAAGGAACGGGAATTGTAAGAACAAACATAACATTATATTTCCTCTAGATATGATGCAAAATTTTCAATTTCTAAAACTTCCTTTAACCTTTGTCATTTTAAGACATACATTTATAATCTTAGCTTCAATTTTTGTTGTTGTGCTGCAGACTGTTTTGAAATGACAAATGTTTTCTTGATTTGACAGTGTAGCATTGATTCTTTGTTAGACCGCACCATCAGATACATGCTTTTCTTACAAAGTGTCCTCAAGTACTCAGACAAGCTACAAGAACCGGATGAACCCAAGGTAACTTAACTTATCAAATCAAACCACTTTTCTACAATATTTATTTGATAGGAACTAAACATGTCAGAATCAGATATGATTAGAATTGCTTGGATATTTAGCTTGTTCAGCAGGAAAATGAAGTGGTTCTAAAAGACCGTGGTGTGGCGGATAGCAAAAGCTGTGGCATTACATGGGCATATGAAGTGGCACACCAAACAATGCTATGCCCCATTATAGTTGAGGACATGAGTCCACCAGGCCAAATGCTTATAGAGGTACGATAATTGAGAGTGATGTCTTACATATCTATCCTTTGGATTACCTATGCATCATATAATTCACTGGCATTACTTTGTTGCAGATGCTTTATGAGGAGCAGGGTATATTCCTCGAGATAATTGACATAATTCGGGGTTTTGGACTGAATATCTTGAAAGCCAAGATGGAAAGAAAGAAGAACAAGCTATGGGCACGTTTTATTGTTGAGGTAGATCCAATATCTGACTACAATATTAGAGTACAAATTACAACGTTTAGATGGTGACTGAGATTGCAGTTTTCTTTCTCTTTTTTAAGCTCTTATAAAAAATTAACACTGGTTTACTTTGTGCAACAGGCAAGCAGACACGTGACAAGGATAGATGTGTTTTGGTCTCTTATCCATCTTCTACAACAAACAAACACCTCCGGCATTGATTCTTCTAAGCATTGCGATGCTCTTGATGCCAATAGCCTCAGGTCCTAGAAACAGGATTTGTGTCTCTTCTCTTGTACATAAGTTGTAGATTAGGATACACTCAAACAAAACTGTAGGTGTTCAATGCCCAACTTAGTTCCCAGGAAGAGGCTGTGCAGTTGATGAATTGAAATTATGTATAATGAAATTGCTGAGCATGCAAGGGGTGGTAGTACAACTGCCTCCAAGACATATGTTAGTGAAGAATATAACTCAATTAGTTTAAGCATTAATTCCTCCTCTGTTTACGCGTGTCAGCTTCTCTAATTAGCTAGGCAAATTGAAAACTTTATCTTGTCAACTTTGTGTTTCTATGACCAAAATTTAGAGTGACCACAATGAGCATCCAAATAGGCATTTCTGGATTCTCTTTTACATCTAGGATTTATTGTTAGCTTCCTATGTGTCCATGAAGATGTTTAATAAATTAGTTGGAACGTATCTCTGTTAAGTGCCAAATATAATAAACCTCATCTGCATATACCTAAAATGATTTTCTGGTGCAGTGGCACATAACAGGTAGTAGTTGGATTGATTTACAGTTAGAGTTAAATTAATATGTACTCTAAATATAGAGAGAAAAAAATTACAGTGTTAAAACCGATAGGAAATTATAATTAACAAACTATTCATATGATAGATAGTTTGTAAGTGGATGATCTTGTAAATGTTTTACAGTGTGTGACTTAATTTCCTTTACAAATACCACGTCCTGCAGAAATAGTTAGAAAAAAGTTAGACAAAAGATTACATAGTTAATGATACGGTCCTTTAGGGTAGTGGTTAAATCCTTTTACGAAAAAGCTAAACAATATGCAATGATGAGATGACGAATCATCCAAACATTCAAACGCAAACATTGCGAATAGTTAACTAAAAGAGGCAGCATAGTAATGTTGCTACAAAGCAACTTTAAATAACTTCGGTTAAGAGTAAAGAGCAATGTTAGGACATGTAGAAAATGCTGACCCAATAAAGTTCTTTAAAGCTACTTTGGATCGTTGGTTTGTCTTTTCAATGAGAGTGCGGATCCAGTGAAGTAGCTAATAAGTGCTTTACAGTGTTATGGACCCACATGCATCTCAAGATGTCTGAAAGCTCTTAATTAAATTGAAAGTTGTACTCATGACCTAATTCATTCAGTACCTTCTAGTGAGTTAACTGGGGAATCTAAGGTATATCCCACGTTTCATTATGTTTCTATTCCGCACTAGTTAACTGGGCGATCAAGGACTAACTGGGATCTATCCACTATAGGAAATGCTTTGATTTCACATCTTGAACGAATGTGCAGAAAACTTTTATTAGATTCTCATATGTCTATATCCATGTTCATGAAATTAAGAAGACAACATAATAGTCCTAATGTATCCCACTTGCCAAATATAATTCATCAGCACTATAGTATGTTGCAATTTAGGTACTTGTTTGTTTGCAATACGTCTGCAGAAGTTCATCAAGCCAACAAATGGCGAACAAAAGATTACATGCACTAATCACAAATATGGTCCTTGATATATATATATATATATATATATAGCTGTATCTTTCAACCCCTTTACTAAAAAAATTTAAAACTATATGATGTGATATGTATGATTCCCTTCTTAATCCGGACGCATGCTTTGTACGAATATTAACAAAAGAAGGCATATATGTTGCTGCAACTAACAATTTTAAAACTTGTTTAATTAAGAACAAATTAGGACACGAAGAAATTGGTGACACAAGTAAGTTATTATATAAAGCAACTTTTGATAGTTGGATTGACTTTTCAAATAGTGCGCAAACACCGTAAAGGAGATAGATAAGGGCTCTACCATATATATATATATATATATATATATATATATATATATATATATATATATATATATATATATATAAATACTTGTCATTTGAAGGATAAAAGAAGATACGACCCCATATACTGTAAATATTCCAGAACCCTAATTGGCCAGAAAATTGCTTTAAGGTAGAAAGTCCTACTCATGACCTAATTCATTCTGTGTTGTTTCCTATAATTCTTAATTTTGTTATCCATATTTAGACATCTGATAACCGTGCACTGAGAATCAGGTGACGGCATGTGTGCGGTACAACAGGCAAGCAATGCAAGAGATGGTGGACCAAGTCACTATGCTACTACTATGAGATTGCATAGTGCTGCCCCAGATTCTGATTTTAATTAGGTCAACTAAAGAAAAACGTTGTGTGAATTGGAGTAATATATATGGAAGTGCATGCCTATATAAATTATGAGTGGAAGTTACACAACACGATTAATAGGTTTTTAATTCATCTAAAGAAAATAATGCTTGCATCCACATGTCGGGGCAGCACATAAAAGATGAACCAAAACTATCATCTATAGATTTTTGTATCACTTTCTTTTTGCAATAATGTTGAAATGTGCAACATTTACACTACATGTACTTGTTGCCCATTTATAACATGCATGTAAGCAAAAACAACTTCTTTAATATTTTGTTATTCTTGTAGAGTCAATTTGTTCACCATCTAGTTACTTTTTCATCTATAGAGATTATTAGAATTGAAAAAGTTGATGTCAATAATTAGTTAATGTAAGTATATATCGATTATGTAAATCCGATAAAGAACAAGTGATTCTGACATAATTTTGACATTCAATTGTGTTTTTACGTGAACTGCTATGACAAATCACTTGACCACAGTAGAATTTGCTAGACACTGTAAACTAAAAACATATTCTGACAACTTAAGTTAGTGACTCTTGGACTAAAGTAAAATACGTAAAAAAGGTTAGTTGTATTAAATTTTCTGATATAGGACCCATGACTTCTCAAGACAAATATTATTCTATGTTAGTGTAAGCATGTAATGGCATATTAACTTTACTATTCACAATTATCCTCAATACTGACAGCTGAAAACCTTTAAGTCGAGATAACCCATTATCTAGGTTAGGTCAAGTCCTGTCGTTAATGGTAGCTATTTTGTTTGCATTGATACATCGCATTAAGTTACGTGGCTGTGTTTTTCTGCGTTCCCGTGCATATTTATATACTAGAAAATATGATCATCTGTGCATATAATATGCCCAACAATTTGAATTGGGAACATTTACTGAAAAAGATAGAACAATATACTTGAGTGGGGATAGTGTTGTCAGTGTGCTCTTACATCATCAGCTTGGTCTTAAGAATAGAATATAAAATAAACTCATTACCGGCTTATAGAAAGTTAATGTACACGCCCTCCCTTTTTCACTGGAATTAAAGGTAAACTGTTTTCTGTTGATTAATTTATAAATATCCTCAAATTGAGACATCCAGCACTTAGCTTCTCTTTATATAAATGCAAGGTTGCTTCTCTAGCCCTACCAAACTTTGTGTGTGGCATAAGGCATTTGATCAAAGCCTTAGTCACTAATCTTGGTCTAACAATATTTCCAGTACATAAACAGGATTAGTAGTGAAACACATGGCTTGTGACAAGGAAGTCGCAAATGTGGAATGGAGGATCAAGGTAGAAGAAGATGACACATTGAAGAGAAAGTTGGTTGGCTGCATGTGGGCAGTTACAGCAGGTGTGGCTTTGAAACTCTGCATGTTTGTGAAGAAAGCATGGGAGTTGGGGTTGAATGACCCTAGAAAATTCATCCATTGCTTGAAAGTAGGGATTGCTCTTTCAGCTGTCTCGATCTTCTACTATTGGAAGCCTTTGAATGATGGCGTTGGAGGAAATGCTATGTGGGCTGTCATGACTGTGGTTGTAGTGTTTGAATACACAGCCGGTAGGTAGAACTTTATTGTAACAATTCTTATGACATATTTCCTCCATGATATGTAATTAAGGACAATGAAATTGCAGGTGCAACTATATGTAAAACTGTTAACCGAATGTGTGGAACTTCTCTTGCCGGATTTCTAGCCATTGGTGTGCATTGGGTAGCTAGTAGAGGAGGAGAGCAATTAGAACCAATAATTATTGGAGTCTCTCTCTTTCTTTTAGGTATATTCATTAACAATATACAGTTTTATGTGCACACATACACACTTGATGATAGCTAATTGATTGATGTGTGTTTGTTCAGCTTCTGCAGCAACATTCTCCAGATTCATCCCTACCATAAAGGCTCGTTTTGATTATGGTGCTATGATATTCATCCTCACTTTCTGCCTGGTGTCAATATCGGGTTATCGGGTTGATGAGTTGTTGGATATGGCACAGTACAGGATGTTCACCGTTATAATTGGCAGCATATTGTGCATAATTGTCAGCGTCACCATTCGCCCCATCTGGGCTGGTTTTGAGCTCTTTGTTTTAGTCACAGGGAACCTCGACAAACTGGCCAACTCCTTACAATGTGAGTTTTCAATGTTGACTTTGGATATTAGAATTATTCATGCTATTGTCTTTCACTGATAGAGAATATGAAGTGTTAATTTCCCAGTAATGTATAATTGTGTCTCATGTGTTTCAGGTTGTGTGTCTCAGTACTTCGGTGGTAGTGAAGCCCCAGAAGCAGAAAATGATGAGGTGTCTGATAAAAAGTTGCTGGGCTACAAGTGTGTTCTCGGTTCTAAAGCAACAGAAGAATCTATGGTATGTATTGTACTCTAACTTTTCTTTGCAAATATTAGTTGTTTATTTTGTCTAGATAGTGTTTGGATACATCAAATATCCAATATGTGAATAACAAAAGGTCGAGGGAAAATCAAAGGGAGAGTCATGTGTTCATGGTGCAAAGCTTAATGAAAAGTAAAATCAAGCAAAACTTCAAATTACCATCGTACTTTTAGTGTGACTAAATTATAATGGTTATTGCAGGCAAACTTGGCTAGATGGGAGCCTGCCCATGGTCGCTTCAACTTTCGTCACCCATGGAGGCAATATGTTAAAATTGGTGCATCAATGCGTAGTTGTGCTTCTTGTTTAGATGCTCTTATTGGATGTATAAACTCAGACAACAAGGTAAGACTTAAATTTCTAACCTAATTCTATGCTTAAGCTAGTCTTGCAAACAAATATTACCCTCAGATGAGGTGGTTAAGTATGCACAAATCATGATCTTCATCAGTTTATTTACTTAACTAATTTGAGCAGGCTTCGGATGAGATGAAGAAGAATATGAGCAGCATCTCCATGAAAGTGGGTGCCAACTGTGCGAGTGTCATAAGAGAGCTAGCAACTACAATGAGGAACATGACAAAATCCTCAAAACTAGATATTCTGGTTACAGAGATGAATAGTGATGCACAAGAACTCCTAGGTTTTTTAAGTTCTTATCCAAACATGGTTAACGCACCATCACATAATGCAAAACTAAGTACACAAACAGAAACAGCTCCTTCTGATGTTCCTCTAGCAGCAAAAGTAGAAATCCCACTTATGCAAATTATTCAAGTAGTAACAGTAGCTTCTTTGCTTATTGAAATTGTGTCACGTATGGAAGGCATTGTAGAAGCTGTTGAAGAATTATCAGATTTAGCTAATTTCCAACCAGAAATGTCTGTCAAATCCAAACAACATTCAGCAGACAGCAAGATCTCCCCAGACCAACAGAATGCTGAGGAAGCTGACACAACACTCCAAATGGTGTGAAGATATATGACACCATTTTACATATTCTTTGATCCATGAATATATATGAATAGTGTATATGAGATCGCAAACCCTTGTCAACACGTGTAAATTTACCTTCCAAAATCCAAACCAACTTTCACTCCTAGTAATTTTGTTTATCTCAGTCATAATTATCCACCTGGATTTGTACTACTATTACTACTACTTCTATAAGCAGAGTTAAAATAATGAGAAAACAAGTTTTTTTTTTGCTCTGTTTTCAAAAATGGTTTTTAATTTTTTAATTTTTATAAATTAAAGAAATTGTTTGATAATTGGTCTTTAAAACTGTTTTTAAAATTTTCAAACATTACAAAATTTAAACTAATATTTTTTAAAATTTCGTTTTTATTAATAAATAATATTTATGAATTTATCTATAGTTACATTACATTATATTATGTCTTTTTTATTAAAATCATTTTTTAAGATTTTTCTAAACTTTTGTCACATCTTTTTATGCCAATATTATTTTTTTAATAAGAGTAGTATATTTGATAAGAGAATGTCTAAACTTAACCCAAAAGAGTAGTATATTTCACAAGATAAACTCTATACTTAACTATAAAATACTTTATTCTAATCTATATATGAAATTTCTATTACATTAAATTTTAATTAAAAAAAAAGGTGATATCAAGCTAGAAATATTTTAAAAAATATTTTTTGTAATTAGTAGCCAGGATTATAACATTCCTTAATTTGAATGAAAATAAGAAAAAAAAAAAACTTAAGAGAATGATTAATGGATGGAAGAGGAAGATAATCAGAATGAATGGATATAAAAAAGTACGAAAAAGTTTCCTGCATTGATTAAATATATTATGAATTTATAATATATAAATCTTATTTTATAAACGATATATTAAGTTAGAAATTTATTAATTTATAAAATTTGTTGATTTATATTATTTTATTAGTTAATTGAGTCATTAAAAATACAATAATAAAAACATTTTTTAGTTGAGATTTTTACAAGTTTAAGATTAAATAAATGATGATAAAGGTTTAATATAAATGATATTTCAACATTAAAAATTCATTCATAGATAGACCTTCTATATGTGTTATGATGAACTATCATACTTTGAAGATATAAGAATCTTAATCTCACAAAATGCTTAAACATAAAATATTTGATTTTCAGGTCACTTTCATCCCTTAACTTTGGTTTAGATCTTAATATGATACACCAAAAAGTCTTGTATGTATGGTTAGGATTCTTAAGTAAATGATAAATGATAAATTTATTTTAAGTGTTTAGTTTAGTTTTATATTAAATATCATTTAGTTTGATTATATTTTAATTTAATATAAAATCTTAACCAAATCAAACCAAGATTTATATTTTGATTTTGATTCATTTAGTAATTTTTGTTACTATAAAATTATTAAATAAATTTATTAAATTAAATATTTTATAATAATAAAATTTTAAATAAAAATATATTATTACATTTTTTATATAATTATTATTATAATCATAATTTTACCTTTTTATATGTATAAATAAATTATATAATTTTATAATTAAAAATTTGATCTAATGTTATCATGATTATAATGTAAATAAAATCCAATTAAATTTTAAATCAACTTTTAAAGAATATAATTATTAGTTGATAATTAACTTTAAATATATAATATTATATTTAAATATAATATAAATAATTTTATTTATTATTGTATTTTTTAATTCAAAAATTCAATTAAATAATACCATTTTAAAAAGTGGACAAAAAATCTAATAAAATTTTGATTTTGATTAATTAATTTATTATTATGTTTATTATTTCTATTTTGAACAATCCTAATTTTTATATATTTTTAGATAAAAGAACACATTTTAAAGACATAAAAACTTGAAATTTTAAGGTGATGTGGTAATTGAATTGACCTTATTTCAATGGAATATGTTTCTGTACTCCAAAATTTGCACCGAAGGATTTAAAATTAAAATAATATTATTTATAATTTATATTACCTTAAAGTATAACAACTTTAATATATTGTTTAGAAACAATTAGTTAATTTTAATAAGTTAAATAAGATTGAAATTAAGTACCTAGTAAGAAATTAATGATTAATAAGATAAAATATATTTTCTTGTGTATTTGAAAAAAAATATTATTTTTTATATTATTATATAAAGCATATTTTATTTTTTATAATTATTTTTCTCATTTTTTATAAAATTATATTATGCTACTTATGAAAAGGAGAGAAAACACATAGAAAAAATAATATATTTATTATGATATTATTAAGAGAAAAGAAGAAAAATATATAAAATGAATTGTTTTTATATAATTATTTTTTGTTTAAGTTTTTGTGAAACTATATAATTATTTATCAAATAAAAATAATCCTTGTGTTAGTAAGTAGATGATAGGAAAAACAGTTATTATTATGGGATTATAAAAGAAAATTAGTTATTGTGTTATGTATTTGAAGAAGAACGAAGAGGAGAGTGAAAACAAGAAAAAGAAAATTGTATGATATTATGAAAAAGTAATTATAAATGAAATAATTATTATTATTATAGAATAAAAAAAGGAAAAATATTTTTTAAAATAAAATTTATTAATAGTATAAAATCACTATATGTGACATAGATTCTATTTTAATTAATTGATAATAAAAATATATATTAATATACTAATATTAATATTAAGTTGTAGAACTATCTTTTAGTATATTTCCATTTTATCTTTAATATTCTATATTTGTATAAATATTTTTATTCTTTTTATTTATTTATTTTGAATTTAAAAATTTTAAATATTTTAGTATCTACTAAATTATAAACTGGACTTTTTAAATTATTTTTCAAAATCTTAATTTTATTTAATATTTAAATAATTATTTTTATTTTTTAAATATGGATAAACACATTATTATAATATCTGTTGTCAATGATATATAATGATTTTCGAGTCAAAAGACCCATAAGATAAGAACCAATAAAACTTAAAAATAGTTTTAGTCTACAAATGATTTTTCTGTAAATATATATAAATATAATTATGAAAATTATTAATCTTATAAACAATTTATTGTTTGCTTGTCATGTCTTTTTACTACTTCTTGGAATTTGTCTGTTTATTATTATAATTACAGAGTCCTTTCAATTTTTTTAGATTTATAAAGTTTTCAAATTTTAGAATATTTACATTCTTTTTTTCCTTGAACAAATTTTACTTTTGAAAAAGATTTCAAAAATATAAATAACTAACAATATAATAATTTTATGAAAAAAATTACATGAATTCAAAACATCTCGTGTAAAATGCTGTCATGCGAACTTATATTTATCATATAATTTATATCAAATTGTTTTTAATTGATTATTATTTTTACAACTGATAAATATATATTAGAGATGACAAAGTATATACGCAAGTGTGTCGCAAACTTTAAATCTAAATTAAACAAATTATTCTTATAATATATAAATTAAACAAATAATGATATAAAAAATCAGAAATATATTTCACTCTGAAAATCGACCTAGTCTGTGAAAAACTATGATGAAAAACAAAAGGCGGTGTTGAGGTAGATAAATTTGACGCAGAAGAACGATGATGAAGTAAACCCTAGACAGAGGAGAGAACAGAAGAAGCTATAAAGCAGAACCAAATTGGATGTGCTACACTGCACATAATACACATTCATATTCATAGATACAAACTGAAGCATCAGAATCGTTTGTTTTTTGTTGAGGATTGATTTGAAGCAGTAAAACAGGGAGGAAGGAAGGAAAATGGGCGATGTAGCAGAAAAATTGGCGTATTTCCAAGCGATTACTGGTTTAGAAGATGCAGACCTCTGCACAGATATCCTCGCTGCTAATAATTGGGACCTCGAACTCGCAATCTCTTCCTTCACCACTTCCGAAAACCCAACCACCGACACCTATACTCCTCCGCAACATCACCCCAACAATCATGTTTCCTCTTCACCCAATCCCCAACCCCTACCCCAACCGCCTCCGGGTTTGGCCTGGAAACTCATCACGCTACCTGTTTCCGTCATTTCCGGCAGTCTAGGGTTAATATCCGGCGCGATCGGTTTGGGCCTGTGGGCTGCCGGGGGAGTCCTTTCCTACTCCCTAGGCCTCGTGGGCCTGGGCTCGGCTCCCTCCTCCTCCTCCGCCCCCTTGGTTTCCGTTTCGGCTGCCACTTCTGAGGCCATGGATTTCGTCGCCGCCTTCGAGAGAGACTACGGCTCTTCCGGGCCCAATTTCGTTGGCGAGGGCTTCATGGACGCGCTCCAGCGATCCCGGAATTCCTTCAAGCTTCTCTTCGTTTACTTGCATTCCCCCGATCACCCCGATACGCCGTTGTTTTGTCAGAGGACTCTCTGTTCCGAAACCATTGCCGCGTTTGTGAACGAGAATTTTGTTTGCTGGGGTGGCAGCATTCGCGCAAGCGAAGGGTTTAAGATGAGTAACAGCTTGAAAGCCTCTCGCTTTCCCTTTTGCGCTCTCGTCATGGCCGCCACCAATCAGAGGATCGCGCTCCTTCAACAGGTTTGATTTATGTGCCTGGTATTGGCTTGTTTGTAGCTTGTTAATTTGCTGAAATTGGCTATTTATTTGTGTTTATGTATAAACTCTACTTGTAATGACTTTTAAGTGGCAATCCCTTTTGCACCGTATCTTGCCAGGTTGAAATAAGAGAAATAGGTTTGGTGGTTTAATTCTGGTGGCTTTTTCGGTTTGGTGAATTGGAGTGAACTGGGTCAACATGTGAAACATATATGAAATGAAAACATTTATACTTAATGTCATAATTAGTCTTTGGGTAAGTTATAGTTCCTTTGTTGTGTTTTGGCTTGTATCTTCGCTGCCCCTGTATGATTTAAGTAGTCCGAGCGACCATATGCCTGTAGTAGCTTTAATAAACATAATTTACATTCCTCTAAGCTCATTCTTGCTGTCATCACTTTCTCCACTTTCGGAATTTGATTGATATTATGGATTTGTCGTCCTCCTCTTGCAGCTTCCTCAACCTCTAGCCTTCTGGACCATCCGCTTTCCGCCTCTACTGTACCCCTAGTTCTATTCTTTCCGTGTTGCATTGTTGTTAAATAGCTGCTATAGTATAGTGGAATTCTTAGATCCGCTATCAATGCTCTGTCGGCTATTTTGTATGTTGATAATAGACCATGTATAATTTATGTGAAAATGGACATGTGTGTTTCTTGTATCTAACATGAGACTAAAAGAATAATGATAGGCCATCGTGTAGAAGTTTGCTTCATAAAGCAGTTGTTTTTGGAGCTGATGATCACCGAAAGTTTTAGCTCAATTTTGACACACTGAATTTCTGTGTAAAATATTAACATAAGTTGGATGCAAGGATATTTTACATGCATGATAACGTGCTCAGACCAGACAAGTATTGAGATATTTAGCCTTTTCTATGGGATTATCTCCTCTTGCTTCTCACAATAAGTGATTGTTCTTACTTGAAATGCCATGTGTTTGTTGGATTTTACCCATTCCAAGTTTAGTCATGCTACAATCATACTGACAGTGAAAGATTGTGTGTAAGTTAAGGTTTACACATTCAACGTTGTTAGAATTGGTAAGTTATGATATGCCAGACAGTGAAATTGTTCAGCACTTAATGTGGCAGTATGTTAATCTGTTAAAAAATGGATAAAAAACCGACAAGACTCCCCCCCTCCCCCCCAAACCAAAAAAATTGTTAATATTATATTATTAGATAGTAATCTCGAGGGTTTAAATGTCACTTTTGATGTTGCTTGGTCCTCGTTATTGTCAAAGAAAGGAATAATGACAAGTGGCAAATAATCTTGGTAGTTCCACTCATAGTATTGAACACAAACAATGAGATAGTGAAAGAAACATCATTTGCAGAATTCTTTTATTGTGGATAACCATTTTCCCGTGTTCTTACTGGTATTATATCTGTCTCCATTGCTTTGAGGTTGTTATGAAGCCAAATAAACTGATCTACATGCCTTCCTTTCTTTTATTATATAAAATTTGATTTCCAGTGCTAGAGCAATAAAACAACAATAACAACATTGCCTTATCCCATTAGGTGAGGTTGGCTACAAGGATCACATGACACCATTCGGTACTTTTAAAACTAAGTTTTAGGAATATTATTTACCATGGGATCTTCCTTGATGACTTCCTCCAATGTTCTTTTTGGTCTCCCTATCTTACTTTTCACTGGACTAAACATAATGTAATCTTCTCTTCTGACTGTTGCAATCTACTTCAGTGCTAGAACAATAGATCACATTAATCATCTTTTGGAAATATTCTTATATCATGTACCTTTTCCTTTATAATGTAGCAAGAACTGATGTTGGCTAAATGAAGATTCATTTGATATTGTGGAATGAGTTTTGGTCATTTAATGCCTTGAAGTTGATTGTTTGATCTATGTAGCTACTCCTACCTAGTAGGATAGGGATTGGTTGCTATTGTACTGCTTAGTGTTTTTTAGTGTTTTAAAAACTGGACCGGATGTTGAATCAGTCGAGGTACTAGGTTGGTGGGTAAATGGTTGAATCACATGAATAGGTATATATTAATTATATTAAAAGTATATGCGAGATAATATATATTAATAAACTTGGTACATTATAATATACCTACCTGGTTAAGTGGTCAAGGGAAGCTTAACTAATCCAAATAGCGTGGTTCAAATCATACATTGTAAAGTCTTCAAAATTCAGGTGAAATTTTCATTCTCTGCAAATTCTTCCCTTGGGAAGGCAAGCTCACCCGCATACAGGTTTAGGAAGCACGCACAGGGATGCATGTCAGATTTTGTTGTGCAACCTTCTTGGTCATTTGTTTACCCATAAAAGCCAGGGTATTTAACACGGGTATTCCACCTGTTCCCAGCCCAACTGGTTGGACCTTGCCGGTTCTAATAACTTGAAAATATTTTCTTCCTCCCCAGCTGTTGCAAAATACTCGTGCTTATGAGGAAGGTTTTGATTGTTGATTTCAAGTGGTTATGCCACAAGTATCCTTAGGAAAACTGTATATAGGTTCGATTCCATTAGTATTGTTAGAATATGTGAAAAATATTTCATCTCATGACAAAAAAAAATAGAATATGTTAAATTCAAGAATATGTACACTCAATTTATATCTTTATTACTGGAAACTATATGGTTTAGGCCACAATTTGAATTCAAGACGCAGACAACAGAAGCTTTTCTGCTGACAAGGAGTCTTCTTCTGCATTCAATCTTTTTACATTCAATTTCCCCTGACAATTTTCTTTGAGTTATATATTAGGATTAGTTTCCTATTATCTCATCGTTCTTTATTAGTTATGATCTAGTTAATTCTTCATGTTTTATATCACATTGTAAGGCATTATGTTAAATCAAGTTCATCATGTTGATTCTATTTAAGTATTCATTTAGCCTCTTTTGTAGCCTTTTCCTCTCTATACATAAAGCATAATATCGACAGATAGTTTTTCTATGAAGGCTTATCTAGTCCATATTCTTTATTTTTCCAGTAAAATGATGTGCCAAGTATTTTAGTTAATAAATTATTCTGATTACGATGCTTTCATTGTTAATCTAGTTTATGTAATGCAGGTTGAAGGTCCAAAATCCAGTGAGGAGCTGCTAGTGACACTGCAGAGAGTTCTTGAAGAAAGTTCCCCTGTTCTTGTTGCGGCTAGGCTTGATGCAGAAGAAAGACAAAATAATATGCGCTTAAGGGAAGAACAAGATGCTGCCTACAGGGCTGCGCTTGAAGCTGATCAAGTATGTTTTTGCAGTTTATGGTTGATTTGCTTGTTTCATATATTTTTTTGTAGTTTCTACTCAATGGCTTGTCTGTTTTATCTATCTCAACTTTCCTTGCAGAGGCGCCTTTATTTAGGAAGAACACGCCTGTTATTGTTGCTGTGGATTAATGTTGTTTATATATGTTCAGGCTAGGGAACGACAGAGGAGAGAAGAGGAAGAACGTCTTGCAAGGGAAGCTGCTGAAGCTGAGAGGAAGCAGAAGGAGGAGGAGGAGGCTCGTGAAAGAGCAGTACAAGAAGCTGCCGAGAAGCAAGCTGCATTAGCTAAAATGCGTCAAGAGAAAGCTCAGTCTCTTGGTGAAGAACCTGAAAAAGGACCTAACGTTACACAGGTACAGTAACCGAAGAATTAACTATGATTTTATTTCTCCTTTAGTGCCAACATCTTTCATTAGTTTATATAACTATTCAGCTTATATAGTTTCACTTTGTATTTAAGATCTCAGCTTTAATTCATATAATATCGTTTAAAATTCTTTATAGGTTTCACTTATTTGCATTATGAATGAGCGTTACTTATTTTTAAATTGCTTTACCTTCCCTCTTTAGTTTCTCTTTTTTTTTTATTCAGTTATGTTGTACTTTACATGACAATGACATTTATGTTGACGAATGAATAGGTTTTGGTACGGTTTCCAAATGGTGAACGCAAGGGAAGGAGATTCAACAACACAGCGACAATTCAGTCTTTATATGACTATGTTGACTCACTGGGATGTTTAGAAGCCGAGCGTTACAGCCTGGTATCCAATTTTCCACGGGTTATATATGGACAAGAAAAATTGGCATTGTCTTTGAAGGAAGCGGGATTGCATCCTCAGGCCAGCCTATTTGTGGAGCTCACTTCATGAGAATGAAACTTGCCAAATAATCTTATGAATACATGAAGATAAGACCTGCAAATAGGGAATGCTGTGGTGTTTCATTCTTCTGTTTAAAAAAAATTGACTTATTGAACAATTATAAGCGTTAGATGCATAGGTTGTTGTGGTTTTTGTAGTTTTGGTTTTTCTTATTTTCAATTGAATCAATCAAACAGATAGCGACATGTGGAGATGGTTTAGAATAATGATATATATATAATATATATTTGGCCGTTCACTTAATTAGGAAGTTCCCAGTGTTATCTCTGTATATTTTGTTTCTAATCAAATATGTTGATAGAGCATTGGACCAGGTGTGGGTTCGCATAAGGTCAAGTTTTGGAAGGTTTATTGAATCTCCTACAGGAGTGTTATGGCACCATATAATAAATGTTTTTGTCTTAAAACATTTTGAAATATTGATTTTAATCCTTACAGAAATTATATATTATTAGTTTTTTTTATCAAAAGTGTAAAATGGTTTTAATCCCTCAAGAGAAAAAACATGTTTTCATCGAAATTATGAGACTAAAATATAGAATTATATTAAATCAATATTTCAAAATATTGGAAATATTTAGTTGGAGATGAGTGAATTTTAATTAATTATACAGTGTGTTGAAAAGAATATGTTAAAGGCAGCATGGGGAAAGATTTAGTTATGGTGTTGAGTTGGTAAGTTTCTTAGGCCTGCATGCAATGCAAAGCATATATAATGAGATCAATTGGGGACTTTTGGAATTATTGTTTGGGCAGAAATACCAGTTACTCTGAGGTGCTACCATTGTAAGGGCTTAGGCTCTGTTATCTGTGTTCTTGATAATATGCCCTTTTACACCACATATCATTGCCGTTCCATCATATGTGCTCCACAATGCTGATCCATGTCAGGTAGGAATAGCTTTTCTCTACATTGTATGGTGCTGTGTATGTAAATGCTATTACGAATTTTGTTAGTACTGCTTTTAAAATTGATTTTATATAATTAAAAGAAATATTTTGCTGTTGAGAAATAAATTATTTTTAAAACAAAAATTTATCACTTTTAAATGTTTAAAATCATGAACATTACCATAAAGTTCTCTTGTTAAAAAAAAAAAAAAAAAAAAAAAAAAAAAAACTCACGAAACTGCTTTGGAATCATCATATACATGTTTCTCAATGTTCTTTGCTGGACCTAGTGGTAATTTCAAGATGCCAAAAAGACAAGCAAATGGTGATGTCTTCAATGTTGATCGAATTGGCTGAAAGGTCGTTGTTCTGTGAAAAAGTGACCTACTAACCAACTCTACCCCATACCACATCTATATCTATTGATTCGATGACAGATATATTTCCATGCATTATTAGGATACCATACAAATTTCACCCACAAAAAAAAATACCTTGTTTAGATTTTATTTTACTTTGAAACAGTTAGCTCAAGTTTCTCCATGGAAAAAAAGAAGTGATAATTGCATCACAAGGTACCCCAAGCTGGTCCAAGATGCACAGACCAATATTATTCCTTCCAACTTGCTATTCCCGGGCAATTTGTGAAAACCTTCCTAGTCTTCTTCAATTTGATGGTCAAAATATTGGTTTTCTCAATATATACATTGATTTGATTCTTAAAGTTTCGTTTCCTTTACAAAAACCAAAGCTGCCCAAGTAGAACTTGCAACTCATGATCATCCACAGTTCATATAAAACAAATAAATCACTCTAGACATACATCCACACATACCTAAATTGATAAGAGAATACACAGAAATATAACAAAAAAAATGGTGAAATGAGCATGCACAAACACCCAATAAGCACTTTAAAATGGTTACAAGATTCAGGCACTAGAAGTTTTCCCTGACAATTTTAGCCTTCTCAAGTACAAACTTGCCTTCCTTGTACTTCTGAGATTCCTCATAGGCTCGTTCATACTTCCAACCAAGAACCTCATGGCAGTCAGAACAGTACACATCAGCCACACTGTGGAGACCTGTCATTAGTTCCCTGTCTTCTCTTGCTCCTACACTTACATTCAGTGCATGACCAAACAGAAAAGCTCGTCCACTTTTCCCCTGAGAACAAATTTGGATCACCAAGTTTCACAAAAAGTAAGTGAAATAGTAACAAAACTCTTCTTGCTTTGTTAATTAGATACATTTAAATAAAAAGTTAAATCTGAGAGTAGTGTTCACCTGAAAGGCCTTTGAAATCACATCATCATGAAGAGCAACATGGTTTCTACAATTAGAGCAACAGTACAATCTGGGGCCAATCACTTCCTCCATCTCAAAGATTGTCTCAACTCAACTCAATCTTTTCAACCAAAAAGAGTTTAATCAATAGAGTCACAGGATCAGGAACCATGAACATAGCATTTTCAGTTTTCAGTCAATTCTGATTTTCAATTACAATTTGAAAATGAATTTGCAGTTACCTGACCCTTCTAGCAGTAGGTGACTGACTCTGCCTTGCCTTCAAAGATTCTTCCTTTTCCTTATGCAAGTTCTCCTTTTTAGGGTTTTCTTCTGCTTCCTCGGTCACTCAGAATCTGAGATTGCTCTCTCTTTCTCTTACAAGTTAAACATACCACTCATGTTGGATTTGATAAGCATAGTGATTAAATTGCAAAGTTAAAAAGATTTTCTATCACTGTATAAGTCTCTAGAATTTCAGTGCCACTTCTTTTTAAAAAACAAATGGTCGGTTACAGAGACTGGTCTCTTTACACGTGTTATTTTGTCTATTTTACAGAATAAACTTGCTGATTTACATATTTGAAGAACAGAAAAAAGATAGTTCTCCCATCCTCCACCTCTATTTTGGGTCATTATCTGCTTCCAATTTAGGTAAACAAAATTATATCTAGAAATATAGAATTGATTTTATTTTACGCTGTTCGTTTCATAGTGTAGAATGACGAGAAATCATTATAATGAATATGAAATATTGTACATCTGATAATTCACCACATCTTTTTTCCAATGCAAAATGTTAGCTAGTTCGTCCAGTTCACAAACACGTTTACAAGAGACAAACTTTATGGTTGTAAACGCACCACATTTGCCGAATTTCCCCTTAATAATTGAAGGAATGAAACTGTATTAATCAAATCTCCAATCAGAAAGCATTACATTGCTGAAAGAATTATAATATAATATATATATATATATAGGTAGGTCCGTGTTCCAAACAAAAAGGAAAGGGTAAACTCAAAAAACAAATCAACATGATGAATTATTGAGCATTGACATTGACAATCGTATTTGAACCAGGTATGATCACTAACAAAATTCTCTCTCCGAATATTTATACTCAAACCTGTTGATTAACTCGTTTGATGGTAAAGATATGTCCATTTTCCTTCAGATTAAGGTTGAAAAGAGTGCAGATACAACAAATCCAGTGATGAGAAGTTGAGAAGTTGAAGTGAACTGAGATGAGGTTGAGGCCGGGGTTGAGGTAGAAGGAGCTACTGGAATATTGCCAAATACTGTGGGATAGGAGGGTGCAGATGCAGGCAATGATGAACCTGGACCAGGTGCTGTACCCGTATTTTCTACTATTCCTTCACCCACAGCTATATGAAGCTTTTGATTTTTTTGGCAATGGCCAGCCACACCACTAGTGAAGTAGAATTGGCCCTTTGATGTAATGTTAAACAAAGAGTTGCCATTGTTCATGTACAATATAGGGTCTTTAATGTTGCACTTCATGTAGGATTCCTCAGTAACTTGAATCACTGAATCTTGGCTTGGTGGGTATAGAAACACTGCGTAAGCATATACAGTGATAAAATTCGAGGTCAGATTTGAACCCTTTTTGTATGAATCAAATTGAAAACATATGATGTAACAAATAGTGTAAACTTACAAAGGGAATCTCCAATTGTGAGATTGTGATATTTGGACCAATTTGTGTAGACTTTTGAATTTGAAGTGGGTATCCCCCAAGCATCTAGATCTCCAACTTTGTATTGGTAGCACAACACCTTGGCTTGGATTTGAACCAATGTAAGCAAGAAAAACACTACCATTCTGTTGTGACTTAAAAGATTGACCATCTTGGTTCTTCTCAGAGTCACACTCACGTTAGATTTAGTATTCTCATCGAGGACGAGGAAATAGATAGGACCAATGGAGGGTTGATAATGAGATCCAGAAGGTCAATTTACTTGAATACCCCTATTTCTCTATAATTTCATGAGTCAAAATTTTGATACTATTATTCCTCCATAATACAATTTATTGATTGATCTAGGTTGTCATCCATTAGTTCCTTTATTCTAGAAGGAGACCTAGATCTAAAATGAAAACTGAACCATTCCCAGCATGAGAAAAGAAAGATGGTTAAGTTTAAAATAAGGTTGCCAAGACTCCAAGAGTAAGATAGTGGTAGAAGAATAGTGAATAATGTGTAAGTGGTGGTGAGTGTAGAGGGTTAAAACAAAGAAACAGATGAAGTTGACAACTATATGCACTAATAATGTGCACATGGGCTCGTTGGCAATCTATATTAGTTTATAAAATTTGGAATTTTGAACTGGGGGTGCTCTCTTCTTCTTGTTATATAAAGAGTGTCTGTGAGTGCATAATTGTGTCACAACGTTGCGTTATCATGTGCTGCAGAAACAGGAAACTTCTCCAGGCAAGTCACATGGCTAGCTAAATGAAAATGTGTAAAAATTATTCATGAAAATTCGTTGTTATTATTAACAAAATCAATATATATTCTGTAGCAATTATCATGATTTAGGATTTTTTTTAAATTAATGTATAATTCATAAATAAAATCTTTCTCGTCCCAATGTGATGAAATGCAAAAGATAAAAAAAAAAAATCATAAAATATCTATTATTACTTTCATCTTTTATAGTATGACCGATTAAGGGTAGTTGTTTCCCTTCAAAATTCTTCTGCGTTGTATGTACATGGATTTACTTTCAGATCTAACAATTTTAATCAACTCTGAACGACATTGTACCTATTAATAGGCAGTCTTGCCATTTTTCTTTTTATATTTTCAAATTTTCACCTGATGAAACTAAAAGAGTTAGAGGATTTTCAGAAAGTATTTTCTAGATATTTTAGCTGTTCTATTTAAAATTTTATTTAAAAATAAGATATTTGGAACTACAGTTGAAATTTTGTAAAATGCGCTTTTTCTGAAAAATAAGTTAATTTTATACATATGAAAAGTCATAGTTTAAATTTTTATTTATTTTATTTTTTCGATTTCGTATACACTTTTTTTATTTCCTAGCTAAAATTCGATTTATTTCTTATATCCAAATTAAATTGATTACCTTAAAATCCTTTTTAGTAAACTTAAAAACTTTTTTTGAATATAATTGGTCATAATAAAATTTAATTATATATAATTGACTATTAATCTAATTTTCACCTCCGTCTTCAGACAAACAAACATATCGTATTAATAATGCTAAATGAAGTTACATTTAAACATCAACTAGTATTAAAAAACATGCTATCAAATTATCATAATTAGTCTATTACATAAGAGTAATTATTAGAAAAGTTAAATTTTAACTTACATTATAATCTGTGAAAATAAATTAAAAAATCAACTAATTTGAGTTTTTTGAGAAAAAAATTCAATTAAAAGATGTTTTAAAAGACCATGTTAGTTGAGTTTTTTTAAGAGAAATATAATGACCTCACCAAAAAATTTAACACTTCCATCTCAAACTAAAATCAATAGCATATGAAAAAAAAATCATAAAACAAATATAGTATCATAAAATAACCCTTCTTTTTTATGTTGAAAAAGGGGTCCTAATTAAACAATCAATAGCTTAATGTTGGCTGGTGTAACCTATTTAAATTGTTAAACTCGATGCTATAACAACAGAAATAGAAACTAGTAAAAGGAGAATATTTTAGCATGTTGAGTGATTTGATACAGAACCTAGAACCTATTTTTCAGGTGGTAGAATACAATAAGCCTATACAAGCTCAAATTCCGATACAGTTATGGTAATAATAAAAACAGTTAAATATGTAGGGGTGTTATTTCTCCCCCGGGGTAGTCCGGATTAATCTGCAAACATAGCAGATTGCAGTATGATACAGCAGAGTGCTTATTTACATCTGAATCTTTAAATGAAATAAATAATGAGATTACCTATGACATATCATTTGCACTAGCTGGGCTTTAGATCGTCACAAAGGCTTATTGAACACAAGGCTGGATCAGAAATATATATGACACTTACCAAGGACCATTTCTCCTTCGGTAAAGAGATAATTGCAGTCCAAAGTATGATTGATCACTCGCCTGGATGTACATGTACATGTACTTCATTAAAGAGGATCATAATTATCAACCTTCATGCATATTCCTCTCTTTCCCCATTTTGTTCCTGGCTGTAGACAGCAGCTAGTTGTTGTTGCAACTGTTCAAAGCGATAATCAGATCGATCATTAGTTTCACAGGCCCTTTAAAGCTTCAATTTAAAAGGATTTCAGCTTGGACACGACATGTATGTATAATCCAAGCAAGAACCTAAAGTAGCAGAAGAAAATCCAGCACGGATGATGAAATATAAAATCTTGTACAGAAACTAACCTGCACGTATCTTAACTTCTCATAAGTTAGTTCATCGGTCAAATTAATCATCCTGATAATACAAGACATAAGGTGTTTTAACTTTCTGAAGTAAAGAGAAGGGTTACCAGGAAAGTATTAAAGGAGCTGATAATTACTAACCGAGAATGAAGTTCTGAAATTTTGGCTAGTAGCAGTTGTTCCCTCTCTGAAACTGCTGTCTCAGCCTATAAAATGACGCAAAGAGACATCAAGCTGGTGAAAATCACTGTTTTACTACAGAGGTTTATGTCACAAAAATAGAGGTGACTAGTTCCGAGCGGAAAATTGACATACACGGTAGTTAATAAAAATTAAGCGAACTAGTAAAAAGAATAATCAAATGAAAATTGCTTACACTTCCATTGTTCTCTGAATTGCGAGGCAATGGTGGCAACTTTCCATTCTGAGAAGCTGAAAAAATTAATTGCACTCGTTATTACATCCAATATTAAGGGAAAAAGATCCTCAAACATAATCAATGAAAAATCCTTCACTCACCATCAATTGCCTCAGCAGTTTGCAAGCTGTTTAACATATTCATTATAAGATCCTGAAATTAAACAGAACTTTCCAGTATGATTATAAATTGGTAAAAGTTACATAGAAAATTATCCGTTTTCTAGCAGACACACAAGCAAATTATAAGTCATTGCTCAAACTTAAAGCTTGCCTCACCTGTTGAATAGATGTCTGCTGGAAAAGATTATGAAGATGAGGCACTAGAAATGATGCAGGAATACTGATATTAGCAGAATCATTGGAAGATTGACCGATTGGCTGAAGAGAAATACATCCAATGAAAGAAAGAGAAGTATTATATATCAAATACAATAATAAATGAATAGATAATCCGTAACCAAACAAAGAATCCAAATATTAATAAAAATGATGATAAACAAAGTTGGGTATAGAGCCAGTGGCGAATGAACAAACCATTTGTTTGTAATCCACCATCCAATCACCAACACTGGCAGATTTCCTCATTGGTGACCCCTACATGTAATGTAGCAGGAAGAGAATGTCAAATGAGAGATAAGGAAAAACATAAATATATAAACAATAATCTATTAGATTATCAACCAACCTGTGAAGATCTGCGTGAAACTGAACTTACAGGAATATCCTATGCAATAGAATTAAGTCAGTAAGGTTGCAGATAGGGTCAATTTGATTAAAATAAGAAAAGGCATACCTTCACCAGATCTAAATTTTCTGATGTCACTGAAAATCGTCCTTTAATTTGCACTAGATTAGCTTTATTAGACTTATCATCCAAGGAATCTCTGAATCCTAGCAAGAGTGGGGAACAAAATCAAAACCAAGGTTTAAGATGGCTGGTTGAAATATAAAAGAACTTGTACAAATAGCCTTACGGTGTACATGATGATTCAAATACCTCCAGAAGATTTTATTGGAGCTGATAAACTATTTGCTGAAGCTCGGTTTGGAAGCATTAGTGGACCACTAAAGCTTGGAGCTCGTCGAAAATCACGATTACTTTTCTCACCTGATAACTGATTTTCATTCTCAAACCTAAAAGTAATAAAAGCGTTACAAATTTTAACAAGCAAAAAGATTACACTGGTGACAACATAAAAACCTCAATCACGAAGCAGTATAGAGAACGGAACAAGAAAACAGCACACACACAACATTGAATTTATTCATTCAAAATTCAAACTACACTTTTTACAGGGTACATTTATAGACAACTCAAGAATATAGAAAAGACAAAAAGGTTTCTCCAGAAAATACGCACTTTACAAAAGTAGAGTTTGAACTTACTACACTCAATAAAAATAAAATAAGCATGATTGATTGATTGCCTATAGGTCATCAGAAATACTTTCTAGAGTAAAGGCTATTCCACACTATCGGATGCAATCCTAAATGGAAAATGTACCCCAACTTGGCACGTGTGTGAACACAATGATAAACTTTCATTGATACGAGTTACACTCACACTTACACCATTTAATAACTCTCCAAAGGATAATATTATCCTAAAATCTAATATACCCAGAGCTTTTCAATTCGTTGTGCCACCATGCTCACACAAGAATTACTGTAGAAGATGAAGTAAGATTTTAAAGAAAGTGCAGAACATTTTGAACAATGAAGGTAGGTAACTTGTGGGTAGTAAAAGGTAATAAATTAAATTACAATTCTCAAGGATTTATAATTTACTAATCAATAACATACTATTTTTTTAGCATTACTTATCTAAATTATAGTATTTTGACATTGACAATAAAACATACACAACCTACTCATGAGTTTTAAAAGTCACACGAAGAAGATTTATATTACAAATCTGAATTCAAACTTTGAGCTTCTTTGTTTAGATGAACAAACAAGTTTATTTGAACATTTAACAAGTCAAGCTTATAAATTTTATGAACAGCGCAACCCTTTTAAAGCCTTACTTAATATCTTCATTCCTTACGCATGAAGGTGAATCAACTTAGAAAACTCCCTGTATAAAATATTTTAGCACCACTTAGTTCTACGATCTTTCACAACTACAATAATAACCAAGCTGTTTTATATTATGTTTCCCAACATGAATCAAACATCATAATAATCTCGTGAGTCATGTTTATAGGCAAATCATTGACCTCTAAATCCTTCTAATGATTTCACTATTGTTTTTCACAGTCTCTTCTGCCTTTAACAATATGGTTACCCTCCACTTTCCATAAGTATCTACAAATGCTCAAACCAAAAAGCAATTTAGAAGTGAAATGCTTTCAAAGATATAAAGTATAAACCAAAATAACCAACTCATCCTCCACTGATAATACTTTGAGCTAGGCTAGTAAGTAAATGCTCCATCTCTTGAGATATCTCATGTAGCAAACTCCTTTTCTTAGAGATTTTACGTTTTAATCATGCAATTTATATTGATGACATTATTTTAGTAACCTCTAAATTTTACTTTTTCCTTGAAATTAAGAAATTGATTTCCTTGACATCTTGACCAACACTTCCAACAAATTTAGCAAGGGTAGACCAATTTCAATTCTTGGTAGTCAAGGCAAACCAAAAAGGTATCTTAAACTTGCAAATTAATCAAGTACAAGGTCATGGGTCCCATATTTTATATAAATCAGTATATTTTCAACACTAACACATCAAAGCCTACTATTTTTCATCTTTCCTCAACTTAGAGCCTAAATGCAGAAGCCCAAGGGACAATGAGTGGCATGGAAGGAAATAGCTCCCTGATTACTAAAATGATACAAAGGTATGGGCATTATATGAGGAGAACCATTGCCCCTCTTACAATTATTTGTTCTCCAAATTCTGAGGGAAAATAGGATAATGAAGGAGAATAGATTTAATTTTATATTGAAAACTAGCCTCGTTTACTATTTTATGCGATAAATTGAGAAGTTCTAAAAAGTCTGGAAGGGTTATGTTGAAATTTTGCACTTATAATAACTCTTTATTAGTTCACTCTTTCTTTCAAGGGTAAGCTTTGGTACAGTAGTAAGGTTGCTACTTGTGACCTCACAGGTTCAAATCCTAGAAACAGACATTCAGCCTTCCAAGGTAAGTCTGCATACATGTACCCTGCCTCAGAGCCACATGCATTAGACCACCTTTTTTACCCCACACTTCCTTTCCTCTTTGATCATCAAACAAAGGGAATGCAATTTCTTTCTATTCGTTCCCTTCCCTCCCTTTCCTTTTCCATTCCATTTTCTCTCAAACTTCCACCACCATCCCAACATAAAAACAACAAAAATATAATTGAAAATATGATGTACCTTTCAAATGCACGCCCTCTTTCAGATAAAGAATGACCAAGCACTGCACCTGGCACCAGTGGTCCACTTTGGGTTTTACCAAGTTTCACTGATTGTGTTTTAACATTGCTTGTTCCCACATCATTTTCTGAAGTAGAGGGTGTTGCTTCAGCCACTGATCCATTTCTCTTCTCACTTTGTGGTATGTCGTTACTGCCTACCTGTAATGCAAACTCATCTTGTTGGAAGTTATTTGAATTTTTTCTGCCCACATTAAACTGAGAATCACTTGTACCCTGTCATGACAAACAACAAAGATTCTAAAAATCATTCTAAAGGTATAGAAAGTTTAGACCAGTTGGCTCAACCTTGTAGGAGCTGAAGAATTTGTTTTCATCTTCTTCCCTTATGTCTGCAATATCATCATCGTCCTGCATCTAGTTAAATTGAAGCCACATTTGTTCAGATCAAAAGAAAAATTAGTCAAGCAAAAACAATCTGAACACACAACAACATACCAATGCAGCTTGAGCTTTCAGATCATCAATATCGAAGTTCCATGCACTAACTCCTCGATGATATTCACTCTATAAAATAACATACATGTGGATTAGATTTCAATGTTTATAAAAGTAACTAGGTTTTTATTCTTGATATAAATGTTAACGAATGTTAACTCAGAAACTTCAAAATGCCAAGCTTCCAAAAGAAATGGTTATCTCTTTATCCCACTTGAAAAACCTTTTTCAAAATAGGGACCACTTGCATAAAATCCCTGTCATTTGTAAGGACTAGAGACTATTTGGTAGAGATTTGAATTAACACAAGCATTTAAGTTAAGAAAAGCACTTTTATTTACTTTATCAATATTTTTTAGGTGTTCATCTAAAATATGATGGGGAATTAAGCTGGGGAGGAAGCAGAAAACTTTTACTAAAGAGGAGTAAAACTACTAGAGATTTCCAAGGAAACAATGCAGAAGCAGGAAAAAAAAGGTTATTTTATTGACAGAATTGTTAATTTATAATAACGATTTTTATAGAAATGTGTTTCAATTGGCACCTTAGAATTTTAGTTTGTGAATTGCACAAAATAAATGTGTAATATTGAATTTATAATGAATAATTTAAAATTGTGAAACAAGTTTATTTTTAACTTTGAAGAATTTCTTAAAAAAGACTAAAATTTAGTTGTGAGCTATAAATAAAGGAGGGAAAAGGAGGATAGATTGAAAGACATGGCTGATTAACAAGATTAAGTACATATATGAAGATAAGAAAAGGATAATTTTAAAAGGTTAAAAGAGAAATTTATTAGCCAACTGCAGGAGTGGCGTGAAAATTGGACATCCAAAGGAGAAAAATGAAAAAGAATATTGGGAATTCCTATTTAAGAAAGTGAGGAGAATGAGTGTCACTCTCCAAATTGTGTATTCTAAGTCGACAAATATTGAGGCAAGATCAACCAGAGGTCTACCATTTTAAGTATGTAATGCCCTGTATCAGTCAACCAGACTTGAATATGCTATAAAAGTTTCAAGTAGAGAAGGAAACCAGTATGAAGGAAGGGGGGGACAAATATGGACAACTGCAGTTATTTGTGAAAATGTTCCTATGAATCATTGACTATATATCACATCATATGACAAATAAAATTAGATTATCAGCCTTACCTGTGATATAGCTTCTTGTTCTGCAGAAGGCATTTTCTTTAGTGCTAGCTGAGCTGCATCTTTAAGCTGCAAGGTTTTGTGTTGTCAAGCAACGGCAAAGCAACAGATTAAGAGAAATTATAGAACATCCATGCAGTGAAGTAGGCATGATATCAAACCTGGAGGGATTTTACACGGTTCCAGAGAGGTGGTAAATCAGCAAATAATTTCTTTACAGAAAGCTCCGGAGGCTTTGCTTGTCTGAAGAAGGAGTGTTTGAGCAATTTCTCCACGGATGGCCTCTTTGTTTGATCTTTTACCAGGCACATAGCAACCATTTCCTTAAAAGACTGGTCACAACTGGAAATACTTTAATTAGACTGCTACCACTCTAACTATAATCATTATTATTATTATTATTATCAATAGCATCATTATTATTAGTATTGTTATCAATAGCGGGAACACAAGAACGGCATGTACCTGTGTCCACATTTCTATTACGCTAAATTTGATATATTTTAACAACTTATCTTATTATGCACTGCCATGAATATTAAATTATTTAATATTTTTATTTTCTGAATGTGTCTCTTTAGCCGAAACATAGTCACTGTCACCATCATGCTTGTGAGTTCGCATTTAATAAACCAAATAAACCCACAAAAGCACTCAATACCGAAGTATTGATCTAGGCAGAAAGAACACCCATACCTTGGAGAACTTTCTGTCACGATCGTAATCAAGCCCTGGAGGAGCATTCTGAATTGTCATCAAAAGAACCTAAACGAAAAACTAAATGTTAATCCTACTTTATCCTCACATCACAACAAATCACGAGAACCTACAACCCGAAGAACACAACCATTCTGAACACGCTGCAGCAAATAAATACCACTTTGACATACCTTCATGGGAGGATACTTGGAGAAAGGTGCGTGACCATGAGCCAACTCCAACGCCGTGATTCCAAAAGACCAAATATCAGCTCTGTCCAATCCAATCCAATTCAAACAAATAAGAAACCAAGTTTGACTAATCCAACCTAACAAACAAAACTCAGATGCTGTTACTTAAGTACTTTTAGTGTTTCTTCAATTAGAATTAGAGCAAGAATTGGAGATTATGTCGTTAATACGCATAATACGGTCCACACTAAAGGTCAACATATATTAGAAAGCAAACAAGGTTTAACTCCAATTCTAACTAAGCAACACTAAAAAACACCTAAAAAATTGCTAAGTTTTATCCAGAACAAAAAGACCACTAACTAACTGACTTGAAATTATAACCGGTTCCAGGCTGCAGCACCTCTGGCGCCATCCTGCGAAAACATAACCACCAAAACATGAAATCAAATCACAAAGCACAGAGAAGAACCGCAAACGTCAACGGAAGCGAGAGAAGTACCAGCAGGGAGTTCCGACGAAGGTGTTCCTGGAGCGCTGGCGGTCGCCGGTGTCGAACATGCAAGCGGAAACGCCAAAGTCGGCGAGCTTGACCTGGCCGTTGGAATCCAGGAGAATATTGCCAGCCTTAACGTCGCGGTGAATGTGTCCATGTCGGTGGAGGTACTCGAGCGCCTTGAGAGTCTCCTTAAGTATAGATCCGATGGCAGCCTCTTCGAATCCTTCGGGATACGCCGCCTTCATGAGGTGCAAACAGGACCCCTGCGCCATGAATCCCATGACAACCCACAGACTCCGCTCGACGACGAAGGAGCAGAAGGCCTTTACGACGTTGGGATGTTCGATGAGGCTCATGGTCTGCGCCTCCCTCCTTATGTCGTCGAGATTGCTGTTGCAGCGATCCAGATCCAGACACTTGACGGCGACCTCCTCGTTGTAAGGGATGTAGATTGCGCGGTATACGGTGGCGCTGGCTCCATAACCGACTTCTTCTAGAAGCTTGTAATCGCTGGGATTGGCGGAATAGCTTCTGCTCCCCATTTGAAACTGAATTTAGTGAAGCAAGACCTAAATTGACCCTTACCTCCCGTTGACCGCCATGAATTGAATTGAATAGAGTGGAAGAGCGAATGGAACGGTTCAGTTGTGTGGTGTGCTGTGGTAATAATAATAATAATAATAATAATAATAATAATAACAATAACAAAAGTAATAATAATAGTAATAAGTAGATTATTAGAGTAGTGAAGACTAGCGTCTGAAGAGTGGAGAGGAACGAGGGTGTGGGGTGGGCACTGCAACAAAACAACAACGCCCATTTCTAACGCCTGACATGTTCCTTCTTCTTCGTCCTCTCTCTCCCCTCCGCTTCCACTCTTCCAATGGGGGACCCTCTTCCTCTTTTTTCACTCTCTAAGTTTCTATCCAATTCCTTTCCTCTCAACTTTTCACAATAATTACACACACCAATCTTATTATACTCAAATTCACAGCTTCGATACCTTGTATAAAAATATATATTTTCATTTTTTCTTAAAATTAAATAACAACATCACCATATTATTTATATTTTAATATATTTTATACATGTACGTTGAGTTTAACCTACATTCAAGTTTATATATAATACTAAAACAACTCTCATTTTAATATTAAATTAAAAAACATTTTAAAACACTTAGTAAAAATTATATGAATGTAATTTTATATATTCTTATATACGAAAAAGATATTAAGTTATGTATGTAATATTCATTAAATGTATAAGGTTTAATAACTTTATATGAAAAAAAAACAAATTTTATCAATTTATATATGTGCTAAAATTAAAAATAATAATCAAATAATAAAGCTTCTATATTTTAATATATTTAAAAATACTTTTTTTAACTTAAACTATGTAAAAAAAATATTAAATATTTTATATTAATATAAAGTTTAGTTCAATATGTATATATATTTGTGGAAGTAACTTTCAATTATCATGAGTTTTTAAAATATATTATTGAATAGTGTAAATTTTGGTGTATTATGTGATTATGGATCCACTGTTTCATTAACTTTAGCACATTTTATTAAATTATTATTAACTATTGTTTTCATTCTATAGATATTTTTAATTTTATATAATGTATATCTAAGCGATTTTACAAGATATTTTAAATTTATGTAAATAAATTTATTAAAAATGATATTTAATACTAATTTAATTTTACAAAATAAACTTATTTTATATTAATTTAATTATATATTTAATTTTATCATGAAATAAGGTTTGTGTAATAAACTAAACAAATATTTTTTATAAATTTTTAATGTCATTTTAATTGAGTCATAATATATATATATTAACATTTAATAATTTTAATATGTTTATGAATAAAACTAAAGTGAATATAGCATGTAAAATGTCTTTGTATAATTTGGACGTCATTTGGTCTTAGTTCATCCCCAATAATTGTTCACTAAAGTATCACCTTAATCAATAGTTCATTTACATCATCATAGTCTATCTTGAATACAACAATTACAATTTACTAAACAAAATAAATTTAAATTATTCTTTAAATAAAGAGAATTGATTTTTTAATCTAGAAAAATGAAATAATTTAAATGTATAAACAAGAATCAAATTGTTTTGGCATGAAAATAAAAAATAAGGCAATTTATTTGTCTTTTTTATACAATTTCACACAACTTTTCATCACAGCCCTATTTTTTTATTAATAAAATAGTGCACAAATTTAACAATGAAATTACAAATTTAAAATTACAACTTGGAATATCCTGAAAACTGATTCAACAAGTTTTCATACATGATAATTAAACACAATTTCTTTAATAAATAGTATTTTCACAACATGTAAATAAGCATAAACTATTTTAATTTATTAAGCTACACATAAAAGTTATAGTTTGTATTAAAATATAGCCAAAGAAGTTGTGCTTATATTTGGTTTTTATGGAATGTTGAAGTAAAAGAAAATTATAAGAAAAGGAAGAGGCAAAGTAGCCTTTGATCGTGATGAATCAGTGAATTCATATATTTTAGTTTTTAAGAATTTCTGGTCCAAGTATTTTGACATTGACGTTTCATTAAAGGATGAACTATTGATAATAATTTATTATTTTAAAAATATTAATTATTATTTGCTTGTCTTAACTTTTGGATTTTTAACTTCATGAATTTGATACTTTGATTTTTAAAATGTATAATTTTTATCCTTTTTAATATTTAAATTTAATATATAGTGATAATATTTTCCGATCTAAAAATTGATTAAGAAATAAAATAATTTCAATCCTCCTTTACATATAAATTTAATATTAAATAACAATCTTTATTATCATAAAATTACTTAAAATAATAAATTTACATATTTATAAAATATTGACAATTAATTAAACTATCTTCAAAATATAAAATTTTGATAAAAAAAATAAAAACAAAATCCATAGTGCATGTGTTAAGCGTATTGCATATTATTAATAAATTACGTGTTTAATTTTACGTTAAAATATACAATAATAATTGTGATTTAAATCGTTATGATATGATTTTACTTAAAATGATTTAATATAGATTTATAATGATGATCTTTTATATGTGTTGTGATTAAAAATAAATAAATCATTATTATATATAATGATAGAGTGTGATTCTTGTTGTCAAATTAATCAATATACAATAACGAGTTTAAAATACGAATTTATAACCGTTGATTAGTAATGTAGTATAAGAGAGTTTATCATTATTAAATGATTCTCTAATTGTTCATGAATCTTGCAAGTTTTGGTGGAACTTAAAGTAATAGGCCACTAGATTAGCTTTGTGAATGAAGTCCAAACTAGACTTGATACAATTATTAAACATTAAATGGAGCATTTACACTCATGAATTATAATTAATCTCAAAATTATAGTTAATTAATCAATCATTTATTAGTTTTAATCAAATGATTAAAAGGGTAGTATTACTATTTAAGGAAGAGTTGTTTTAGATTTTTTATGGAGTAGAAAACAAACTCAACCCATATGAAAGATTAATATTATTTATTAATCCAAAATTTCAAAAGATTAGATTATGTTTGCTTAATTTTATCATTCTTATTTGATAAAACAAATTCGTCTGTGTAGCTATAATTTAAACAAAAAAATTTAATTAAAATTTTTAATAAATTTAATAATAAAATTATTATTTGTTTCTCAATAATTTAATATATATTTTTTAAATTAATAATATAAATTAACACATTATTTTAAAAAATTATAATTTAAAATAATAATAAAATTTATATAATAATAAATAATATCGAATATATATAGATAACATTACCATTTTCAAAATTTATATTTTATATTAAAAAATTTAAATACTTAAAACAAAACTTATATTATATTATTTTATTTGATAAAATTTTACATTATTTTTCTTTGCATAATTTTCACATTATTCATTAAAATTATAAGGATAAAAATAATCAATATTTATAATAAACAAGAAAAAATATAATAAGTAAAAAAAATATAATAAGTAAAAGTAAAACTTTTTTTAATTTTCTCTTTTATAAATTTTTATCTTATATATTATTTTTATAACTAGTTATATAATAATAAAAAATAATTTTTTTGTTAATTAATGAACCACGGATTGGTCTATTTACTCCGGTAGACTAACTTGATAGAATAGGTTATAACGAATTAAAAATACTAACTCGCTCCATTATACTTATAACTCACCCATTTTATTATTTATTACTTATGAATGTATGACTTAGATTCATTCACATAAATATACTTTGATGACCAAGTAACTTTTATATATATATATATATATATATATATATATATATATATATATATATATATATATATATATATACATGAATAATATCGTTATCGATATTTAAAGAAGCTATGTTGGTGGTTTATCAGGAGTAAGACACGCCATTTTGATTTTTGAGTTGTGAAAGAACAAGGTTATGAAAGAAATGCAAGTTGTGGGGGCAAATAATTGATTGTGTGATTCATTTAAGAATGGAAAAAAGTGGAAGATCGAAAGATGTAATTGGGAGGACACGAGACGGATTGAAAGGAAATGGTATTTTTGTAAGACACATATTTCTAAATTTTTTATGCGGTACCAGACATGAAGCAGACACCACCATGCATATATTTATTTATATTTGTATATGAATCAACAACGAAAGGGTCCACGTGATCAAGAGTGTTCACTCATAATAACCAATATCACGGGTTTCCACAGATTCACTATTTTATTTTCTTTTTGGAAAATTTTAATATTTGTTTTTGACAGCTAAAGTTTTTGAACGTGGGAGTGAATTTGGTGAAATCAATGGCCACCAGCACTATGTTGCCGTCTGAGATGAAAAATAAATAAATAAATTATCAGACAGGGATGTTAAAATGATTCCAAATCGATTTAGTAATAAGTATTAGTTTAAATAGGTAGTTTTAGTTAATTAGTTTATTTTTATTTATCATAGATTGATTTATATTTTACTGTATATAAAAAAAATCTAATTTTTATAAATCTATTTTATCTCACCTAATAAAAAAAGGGTGTGAAGTGTGATATTTAATTGTTATGTTGTTGACTTAAAAAGGAAAAAAGTGAAACGAAGTAAACAAAATTTTTGAATATTATGTATAATGCAAATGGATACCATTTTTGTATTTGTATTGTAATGCGTTAAAAAGGAGAATTATTGATTTTTGTTTGGGAGAAACGCTTAGAACGTCGATGCTGTCGAGGAAGATTGGAGCATAGTAAATAATGTTCCACGAGGAGAAAAGTTTGAGTTTTTTAGTAGAATCTAAAAAAATAATATTCATCATTTAGAAATAAAAATATCCATCATCGTATCAGTTGTGAGGTTGAAGAACAAAGCAAGGTAATATTATTTTCCGTGCATCTCTCTTCAATTTTTTTTATTAACTTCTCGAATTTTTTTTATATTAGTTTTCAATTGATATTTTATTCATTAGTTTTTTGTATGTAGTAAACTAGTATTAATAAATTTTCATTTTAAACTACGTGACCACATATGTTATTATTTTTTTTAAGTAGTATATCAGTACTTCCAATATAATTAGGCAAGACCTAATAAAATTATGGAACTTTTAGTAAACACTCATTTAGATCTTCAACACTCATTTAAAAATATATATATTAATTTTGCAATTATTTTTAAATAAATTAAAAAATATTTGACAAATTTACTTTAAAAATTAATTTAAACGATAACATCGTAATAAAAATAAAAAATTAATTTTAATAATTTTATGATAAAAAAATAATATACTACAATTATAGTATGTATGGTATCATTGATGACTGAAAAGTAAAAATAACAAATATTTTTTAATTGTGTTTAATAAAAAATAAAAACAATTTTTACAAGTTATTTTAACAAAATAGTCATAAAAAGATTTTTTTAATTTAAAAATAATTATTATAAAAAATAAACAAACAAATATTTAGCTTCATGGTCAAATTAAAAGTAGCTTTAATATACGTGAATAACGAAACTTTGCAATAAAGAGTTATTTTTATATTCTTTATTAATTATATTAAATAATAATAATTAAGTTAATATATTTTGAATCCATATACACAATTTATAATCATTATACATTAAGAAGTTTGTAAAAACAAATGTTTGATATGTCAGAAAAAATAAATATATTGACTAAAATAAAATAGTGTGAATAAGGCTTGTTATATAATAATAATGATAATAAGTTAACAACGAAAGAATTATTGTTTAATATAAAATAAATATATTGAGTAAGTAATTAGCTCATATTTATGCTAGCATATTAATAATTATGTTGTATAATAATATAGATGTTTGTTTCTATATAACTAAATTTAATAATCATTTTTAATATATAAATATATTATAACAAATTAATAATAAATATATATTTAAAATTTTATAATGAATAATTTAAATTATTATATAATTAAATTTAAAATCCAATTATAGATAGAGATGAATGAAGGAAAATTAAAATAGATAAGTAATTGTACAAGAAAATAAAATAGGAAATCCACGAATTTTTTAAAAACTAAAAATTAAAGTTAACTTATTTAATAAAACTTACATAATTTCTTAATTATAAAATTAAAAATATATTCTTAATGGGTAGAGTAGTTTTAAAATTGATTTGGGGATTAGTCATGGCCCAATAATCCTATAGACAAGCCCATTAACATATCTCAAAAATGTCCAATCTCATATCATCATGAATTTTACTTACTACACCATAATTTTATTGCTTATTTGTATTTATATTAAAGTTTGAATGAATTTTACTTTCTAAATTTGAGTTTGTTAAAAAGAAAAAAAATCTTAGATTATTAAAAAATAAAAAGCCTCAAGTTACCATTTTTCTGCACAAAACTGAAACGTAATTGTAAAAATACATTAAATAAATAAATTAATAATAATATTTACGAATCAATTCTATAATTAATATAATTTTAAAAATTATTTAAATAGAATTTATTTAAATTTATTTACTATTTATATACAAAATTTAATAAGTGAAAATAAATTATAATTACTTTTTCTCAATTATTTTCTTGTTTTTTTCTCTTTATTTGTTTTTGTTAGTTTTTTTGTCTGATTTCATTTTTTTAGATAAAGTTGAGATGTTACAAATATTATTATTATGTTATAATTAGTAAAAAAAATAATTATTTATTTTGAAATAATTTTTAACAAATATTTTTTAAAATTAGTTAATTTAACTAATTATCATAACTCAATTTAATTATAACTATATTATATTATTAAGTAAAAAACACATTTAACATGTAAATATTTAATATTTTTAATAAGATGAGTAATTATTATTGTGACAAAATAATTTTAAATTAATTATTTATGTTATAGTAAATAAATTTATGTATTATCAAAATAAATAAAATTATTTATTATAATTATAATTTTAAATAATTAATTAATATTTTTTTCGTTTAAATATTGATTTAAAAATATTTGTTTTAATATGTTTTTATTAAATTTTAATGTAATGGTTTAACTAGGACAATAAAAGGAAGAGGCAAGAGAAAAATAAAAGACCTACATTAGAAGAGAGAAAAATAAGAAGTGAATAAGAAAAAAATTAAAAAATTTTAAAACAAAGAGGAGAGAAAAGAAAAATGATTATGAACAATAAATGGATCTAATTGAATAAATAAATTAATTGAGATTCTATTTAAGTAATTTTTTTAAAGTATATTATTAATAAGGTTCATTTCTAATATTTACATAATAATTAGATTTTATTGGTATACACTCATGATCATTCAAAATTAATAATTTTAAATATAAAAATATATCATGATAAAAATAAATCTCATTTTCTAAAATTTAGGATTTACATTAAAAAAAATATAAATTATATTTATTTTCATGCATATAATGTTTAATTAGAATTTTTTTCTCATTTGTAAATGAAAAATTATAAATTAATGTGAATATGTAATTAAAAAAATATTTTAAAGTAATCACATTCCCAATTATAAATTTGTATTAATTAAATAAATTAATAATATTTACAAAGGGATACCTTGTTCATTAATATTTATGATAACAGTAAAACAAAGGTCATGATTTTAACTATTAAAAAAAATACTTATACAAGTTTAAAAGACATATATAACTTCATCTTTTTGCCTTTTAAAATATAAGTTTTACGTGTTAAAATTAAATTATGTTATATTTGTTTTTTGAACATATATTTTTTAAAATAATTATTTGTTTTAAAACTATCAATAAACATTGATACTGATGGGTAACTCTTAACATAAACACAACAAAAATAATTATATTTGTGAATAAAATAAATAAATTGTACTCTTATATTTTTTTAAAAAATAAATATAATAAAAATTTTGATTTTTTTCTTTTTTTTTAATATTTTTCTTTTTATATTAGTATTATCTCATATTATAGTAATTTTCTTTTTATATTAATATTTTCTCATATTATTATTATTGTTTCGAGATTTTTTTCTTTTATAAATGTTTATTCCTTTCATTATCTAGTTTTTATTGATAGAAAATTAATTTAGAAACATATTATTTTTAGAAAGCAAACAAATTAGTAGATAGGATTTACAAGTAGAATTGGGATTTCAAGTCAAACTTATTATATAAATTATAAAATAATAAAAATATAATAAAAATATTAATAAAACTTTATATTATAAAAATTAGGAAAAAAAAATCAAACACAATTTTGGCCTTTATTTGATTGGCTAGAAGGAGAAAGAATAAAAATAATAACCAGCGAATATTAATAATGTTACCTCCTTTGTTGCTGTTTATTTTCTACTTGTCCTTATATTAAAAAGAATCAAATTTATTTTTTCATAAAAAGGTGTCAATTTTTAAAACATTGTAAAATTATAATTTTTTTATTATATTTTAACACATGAATTTTATAGAAGTTCTTTGTCAATATATATCTGTCTATATATTATATATATTTTAAAAAGACTTAAACATCCCTTTTAGATAGCTACTTATACGTCGTAACCTTGTTTGATATTTTGTCCATAACATGATTAAATAAATATATTTTATGATTATTTTGTTAGTTTAAATAACATATTAATAATTTAAATAGGTATTAACAGAATACAATGCAGTCAAAACATGAGTTTTCATTTTTTTTATAATTAAATAATTGTTTGATAAATATTTTATTAAATTAGTTTTAAAAACTATTTTTATTTTTAAAATTAAAAAATATAAAAAATAATTTTTAATTTCTATTTTTATTAATAATAAGTTTGCCTTTCATAATTTATTATTATTATTATTATAAAATTATTAAAATCACCTTTAATCTTATACTATTTAAAGTATTTTTCTGATATAATTATTAAATAAAGTTTTTTCTATTTATTAGAAAAGATAATCCTTTAAAAATAATTTTTAAATTTTATTTTTCTAATCAATATTTATTTTATGTAATTATTACTACACCCCACAATGCTAATCTTGTAGTTGTGAATTCATTGGAAAGGAGAATGGAGTTTTGTAGGGTTCTAAAAAGACAGAAAATCAGTGTCATAATCAGGTATAGTCAAAAGTGTCCGAATCAGGCACATGGCGACCACACTCCACACTAGCTAAGGTAGGATTTTGTGCTAAGCTGTGAGTGCCGTGTGTCACTTGATCAAAACATTAGCCACTAGATTCAAATTCTAGTATCCATTTCAGAGCTAGTGGTAATCACAAACACAATTGAAAAAAACCTTCACCCTCACTTTTTCAACAAATAGATGCCATCCTAAAGCAATAGCCATAGCCATCCACACATAATAATAATATGCATTGATGCAAAAATTCTTTCGTCTCAACATCAAGTTACTGCCCTTCTCTGAGTCTATATATGTACAATTACATTCAGACACAGAATTTGTGCACGATGTGATGGGTGAGTGTGGCATCTTCCAAATCAACCTAGTGCTCATTTTCAACGGTTCCAATGATGCAACGAAATCATCATCATCTTCGTCACAACCATTTTCAAATGCTAGGCAGAAAGTTTTTATCATATTTTCAGCATCCAATTCATCACACTTCAATTATTATCTTACAAGTTGAAATCAGCACACATGACTAAAGTATAAGACCAGATATGAAAGATATAATCTTGTGCTTTGTCTTGCCACACATTTTTTTAATTTATCCAAAATACACATAAATAGTAGTACTATGGTCTATATAGATCAATTAAGAAAAAGAAATCCCTGAATTGATCCAAGTTTATCTCAATTCCATCATTTTCAAACTGGATGCTGATGGTTGACAGGCCAACCCATCCACTAATGGGTGCAATCAATGAATGGCTCACCTCAGTCCCCTTATGGGAAGAGAATCTTTGCCACTAGCTGGAAATGTTATCAGAACCTCATGCGAGGACAAAGGTGGAAAAAGGGTAGGTTAATAGTAAGATTAACTAGTCAACCCAATTGAAGAAGATGAGTTTTTGCTGATTCTACCCTCACTGTTGACATTGCAAGTGCATCTAATGCACTGCATTTGTAGGTGTGCCTATTATGTATCTATCTCTCTGTATGTATATATCATTGGACAGATGAACCTTATCATTTTTCAAGTTCTATCTGCAGTTGTTGGGGCGAATGTGTGAAAAGTAAATTTTCAACAGTCAAAACTGTTGTCCTTCAGGTTGTATCTGTTCTTCTTGATGAACTAAAACCATCAAGATTATAATTAAAAAATCATGAAACAACACCTTACAAAAGAATATATTTTTACACATTTGAATTCAAAAATATTACAATTTTTAATTCTTTAATCTTTTAATACTGGTTGTTGTCGGCAAACTACGGATTGATGGACACACCGTTGGTTTTCAGGGGTACAATGTATATTATTTTTTAGTGTTTTAAGTACCACATTTATCTATACGATATTTTTAGACTAGATGCCAACCACAGCATTCCTGGGTCAACAAATTTAATGTGACTGTAAGTTAAAATTCAATCTTATGACATGCTGGTAGTAAATAAATAAACACAATAAAATAAATACTGCATGCAGAATCTTTTAATACTTAAAGATAAATTATGAGATAAATTTCAGAAAATACTTGACTATATTAAGTATGACAATATTTTGTGCACTTTCTTACACCAGAGATTCAATATAGTGTTCCCTACACACATTATCAATATATATTGATTAACTTAATTGTCTTCAAAAGAATTGACATTGTTATATGTGCAGCAAGAAGTCAAGGAAAGTTACTGTTTGTCCCATCCCAGTCATTAGGGTAACCCTGCCCTATATATGTACCCTACATTATTTCATACAGTAGCTATGCCTTTGCTTAGAGAAAGCATCTTAATATCTTTCATTGGTCCATCCAATTGGTGAGAAAAAGACTAAAGGAGAAAGAACAATTAAACTAAGGTAAGGTGAAATGTTAACAGTGTATTATTATTCCACTTTTCAATATCTACGCACGAACATCATAATTATAATAAACATAGTATTGATACCAACCAGACATTCTCGGTTTTGTTCTTGAGTTGTGTTTCCTCTGATGTTCAAAGTTTGTGTTACAAAGGCCATACAGCTGCTACTACAGTTAGAGAGATGATTTCCCCATCAAGTGACCTTGAGATGGAAGGAGAGAGGAAACTAGAAATAGTTGAAAGAGATCAGGACTTGGAGGATCAGCTACCTGCTGTTGAAGTTCAGTCTCAGCCATGGACAGAACAGATAACACTGAGAGGAGTGTTTGTGAGCATGTTGATTGGAATCATGTACAGCATAATAGTCATGAAGCTCAACCTCACAACTGGTATGGTTCCTAACCTGAACGTTTCTGCTGCACTCCTTGCCTTTGTGTTTGTTCGAACCTGGACCAAGGTGTTGCACAAGGCTGGTTTTGTAGCCAAACCCTTCAGCCGCCAGGAGAACACCATCATACAGACTTGTGCAGTTGCATGCTATAGCATTGCTGTTGGAGGTTAGAGTTTTGTCTTTTATCTTTTTGAATTTATATAGCCTCTTCATATTTATTACTTACTGAGTTTACACTCTCTCTTTATATATATATATACTTTTGTTTTCTAAAGTTTGATCCATGTATGTGTGCACATGGCAGGAGGATTTGCTTCTTACCTGTTGGGATTAAACAGAACGACTTATGAGTTGTCGGGAGTAGGAAACGAGGGTAACAGCCCAAACGCTATTAAAGAACCTGGGTTTGGTTGGATGACTGCCTTCCTTTTTGTGGTTTGCTTTGTTGGCCTCTTTGTCTTGATTCCACTCAGAAAGGTATTGCTTACATATCTATTTTCTTCTCTCTGTGTGCAAAGTTTTGGATTCGATGTCTTTGCTGCGCATCTTTCAGTGACTGATATATCATTTGATGCATATATATAGAAATTGTTAGAATCACTAATCAACAAAACGGACCCGGATTTTTATTTTTCTTTTTGTGATATACGTGTTCCTGACTTGTTAAGAGCATTGAAGTTCAGTTTGAGTTGCATGTAGTGAATGCGCTCACGAGTAGCACAAGACTTCTTCAAAAAAACTGTCTTACAGTACTTTTTCTGCTGCAGATCATGATAGTTGACCTCAAATTAACTTATCCCAGTGGCTTGGCAACTGCGGTTCTCATCAATGGTTTCCATACTCAGGGAGACAAAATGGCCAAGTAAGTACCCTACACTTCGCAACTATTCATCAGCTTTCGTTTGCTACAATTTGCACAGACGAGAGTTGTACTGTTAATTTTTAATTTTTTTTGCAGCTTCTTTTTCTTGTTGATAATATTATCAACAAAATGGCTACTTGTTGATGACAATCGTAATATAATATTGCAGGAAGCAAGTATGGGGATTTGCGAAGTATTTTTCTGTCAGTTTCTTATGGGGTTTATTTAAGTGGTTCTTCTCAGGAATAGAGGACTGCGGATTCGAACAGTTCCCCACCTTTGGATTGCAAGCTTGGAAGCAATCGTATGATTTTGAGCATATTAATTGCTTCGAAATGGAGGGTTCCATCCCACATGCTACTGATCATATTCTTTGAATTTAATTTGCAGATTCTATTTCGATTTTAGTATGACTTTTGTTGGAGCAGGAATGATTTGCTCCCACCTTGTGAACGTGTCCTTGCTCCTTGGAGCTGTTCTCTCTTATGGACTCATGTATCCGCTCATTGATCGGCTTAGAGGAGACTGGTTCCCGGACAATTTAGAAGAAAGTAACATGAAGGGTTTGTACGGTTATAAGGTTTTTCTTTCAATCGCTCTAATCCTGGGTGATGGCATATACAACTTCACCAAGATTCTAATTTCCACAGTGCTCAACGTCCATGGCAGAATAAAGAGCAAGAACAATAAAAATGGTAAGAACAGTCAAATTCACACTTGCTTCTGTTTGATTATTCAATGATAATAATGTATGATATTTAATGTTGAGGTTGTTTCCTTACTGCAACAGTGGCTGCTGATCAGAAGGGGAATCCGACTGAAGACATTGAACAAACAGAGACATTTCTGAGGGAGAACATTCCCATGCGGATTGGAATCGTTGGATACGTTGTTTTCACACTCATTTCTATAATCATAATCCCACGCATGTTTCCACAGCTGAAATGGTACTACGTGGTGGTTGCTTATATATTTGCCCCATCTCTGGCATTCTGTAATGCTTTTGGAGCAGGTCTCACCGACATAAACATGGCATATAATTATGGGAAAGTTGCACTCTTTACCCTGGCAGCAATTACAGGAAAAGAAAATGGTGTGGTGGCTGGACTTGTGGGTTGCGGTCTTATTAAATCCGTGGTCTCGGTGTCTTGTATTCTGATGCAAGATTTCAAAACTGCTCATTACACACGTACCTCACCCAGAGCCATGTTCATATGTCAAGTAATCGGCATTGCAATGGGCTGTGTGACAGCTCCTCTCAGCTTCTTCCTGTACTACAAGGCATTCGATGTGGGAAATCCGCAAGGAGAATTCAAAGCTCCTTATGCTTTAATTTACAGAAACATGGCAATCATAGGTGTCCAAGGTTTCTCAGCATTGCCCCAGCATTGCTTGCAGCTTTGCTTTGGTTTCTTTGCTTTTGCTATAGGAGCAAACATGATCAGAGACTTTTCACCCCAAAAGATTGGTAAATGGATGCCATTACCAATGGTCATGGCCGTACCATTTCTGGTTGGGGCATACTTCGCAATCGACATGTTCATCGGTAGTGTGGTTGTGTTTGTGTGGCACAAGCTGGACTCCAACAAGGCAGAGTTGATGGTTCCAGCAGCTGCTTCTGGACTAATTTGTGGGGAAGGACTATGGACTCTACCTGCTGCGATTCTAGCTCTTGCAAGAATCCATCCTCCTATCTGCATGAAATTCGTTCCTTCCTAAAGTTTGACCGACCACAGAACAAGATGTTAAATGCCATAGTGTTTAGCTGGTGAACCCTTCTTTTTTTTCGGTGAACACAAGTACACTCTGGACTACATCAAGCATCATCCATATGCATTGCGAAGAGTGTCAGTGTCACCGCCTACAGTTTGTAACATCAAAATTTTCTGACAAAAATAAGGTCTGTCGTTAGAGCGCTGCTCTTGCAGGTACACCTCCCATCCCAGGAAAAATAGCAAAGAAACTCACCTCTCTTTGGGTAATACATGGTTTGTCAGCCTTGCCAGAAAATGGGCTAAAGAATGAATAACCACCTAACTGTAAAATCGCGCAGAGGACCAAACAAGGAAAATAGGCCTGAACCGGAATAGAAATTCATAGAAATGCAACAGCAAAGAAAGTACATTAATTCATATTTCAGTTCATAAAACTCTGCAACTCTTGCAAAATATATTGTAAAAATTAGAACGTTCAACAAACTGGTTAACGAGTAAACAAAGACTTTTCAATTGTATTGAAATTATTTCATACATAACTCAATATTATACACAAGTTCGCGGGAAAGTGCAAAAACGCTGAAATGAGTTCTTACTCAAATTGGCATATTAAATCGATGGTACACTTAAAACTTATATTCATCCTGTTATTATACCAGCAAGTACATCACTTTTTCCTCGCACATAAATTGTGTAAACTAGACGAAGTGCATCCAACCAGCCATCCAATGATTCCCAAGAGTCCGCAACCTTGATAATGCAAGTAAAAAATCAAGATTAGAGCTGCATTTTCAAAATATAAAGAGATGCTTGTATATGTAATTGAGATGAAATCACATTTCAAAGATTTCATCAACCCTTGGAAAATTAATTAATTTGGGATTTACGAAAACCATTTTTAAAGTACGCTGGTGGTGAGTGGGGGGACAGGTTACTTGGGAAACTCATGAATGGACTTTGCCTTTCTGTGCAGATGCATGAAAAAACTATTGGAAACATGGAGGTTATGCTCCCTAGGTGCAGTGATTACTATTTCAAGACAGAATGGACAACAATGGTGCAGGTTTCATGTAATTGCCTTCTCCATTTAAAGCTGATAATCTCATGACAATCAAATACACTGTCAACACAACAAGCCATCACAAAGAAACTTCCACTTGTCACAAGAAAACAACTGGGTTGACTAAGAATAAAGCATAGTTACAAGTTGAAAGGGCAAGCAAGTATGGGGAAGTGGTAATTTCATTATTAGATGTGGGAGTCATGATTACTTCATTATGAAAAAGGTCTTGGCTTTGATTCCAAAAATTGCTGTATGTTGTCTTCAATCAAAATTGATTTAGGGCAATTGATTAAACATTATTTGATCGGAAACAAGCAATAAATTGGTGCAATGTGGATAAACTCAGATCAATGAAACTGCCACTTACCAAGTAAAATGATCCATGACTTGTATCTATGCAGAGGCCTGCACCAGGTGGTAAGGTCAGATCAGCACATGCTGATACAGAAATAATATCTGCTATATCTACTTTGATAGTCTTCTTGTCCCCATTCACTGCATCTACTGATCTGCCTGAGAGGCTTTGGGGTAATTGTTTATGATCTCCTCTGGGTATCTGAATGAAGGAATGTAAATTGTTTAATCATAGTTAGCAGTTGTGAGACTAGAGCTTATAGGTTATGAACGATTTTTACTAACAAAAAAAATTCAAGGTCCCACATCTTACCTGCTGAAGCTTTTCATGATCCAAAAGGAATTCTGACCGTTTCCAGTCATTATGAGGTGCAATCATTGACCCCACAGGAGGAGCAGTTAAATATCCAACTTTAAGGTGTGGTAATGGTAGCTGTGAAAATTGAGTTATGCCAATGTTAGCATTTAAATGAATGATTCCATCAACTAAAACTCACATTAATAGTAATGAAACAACAATAACAGATGGCATATCAATTCAAACAGAAGATAAGTTAACTTCTAAAGAAAATACGTGGTCTCAGTGTAAGTACTACTTAAGGGGATGAGAGGTGAGAACCAATAATCCAATAAACTGTAGGGATACTTAACGTGAAAGTCGAAACAAAATTGAGAAAGCCACATTGTAATGTTGGTCTAGATCAAAGCCACAGCAATAGCATAATTTAGGATAAAATGTACTCACCATAGAGCGCACCAACCGCAAGGCACTGCTATAAACCTGTTGCATACAAAATAATAATAATAAGCATGCATGATTAAAATATGAGGGAAAAATTAACAGGATCTAAGGATAAATAGTGGCATCTTACTGAATAATTTGGTTTCAATGCATGAGCAGCAGCTATATATATTGCAGACTGGCTGTACAATTCATTTGGTGAAACTTCTTGAGCACCTACTGATCCCCCAGTTCTTAAAGTGTCCTCTGCTAATCCATACTGTGAAGGCATTAAGCAAGTCAATTATACAGTCTTAATACTGTTACATACATGTCAATACAAGACACTAAAGCGTAATGTGGATGAAATATGTGTAAAATGAAGAAGCAATATGACCAGAACAGTTCCAAGGTTGTAAATTGCCCGATGGAAATCAAATTGCAACTGTATGGCTGCACGAAACTGCATCATAGAATATGGAAAAGTCAAAAGTGGATGAGGAAATTGTGTTATATTCAGATGACATAACTGATAAACAATTGTTTGTCACTTCCGTCAGATTCCCTTCAAAAAAATCTGTTATACCTTGCTGATTGCAGTTCTCACAATCTTTTGCTTTTCTCGCGCTGGAACAATGGCACTGAGTTCCTAAATTGGAAATCAATTGTTTAAACAAATATAAGACAAACAAATTAATTGAGAATTCCAATAAAGAAAATTATGAATTCTATAAAATATTAAGTGTACAATGTTTGCAAAATAACTCTCAAGGAATAGGGAAATATATTCTTATAAGAGAAGAGGGTTGAGTATGATTAGCAAAAAGAGAAAGGGAAAAGGTACAAATGGCTGGTCCAATGGTTTGAAGGTTTTATCCCGTTCTTTTTTTCATCTATAAAAGCCTTTTGAGATAATCTTGTCCATGTAATGCTTTTTTCGCCAAATTTTACATTAAGAGGTCCCAAAGCCAAATAAAAGAGGAGGGAATACATTAGACCATCCACAGCCAAATTAAAATCAAGTTGAATTTTTCTGACTTGGATTAATGATTCAACTGTGCTAATGCTATGTCATTACCTAAGTATTGCTGCACATGGATGCTTGAGTACAGCATTGAATGAGCTAGCAGAGCTACTATACCATGATTAAGTTTAGATGATTAATTATAATACGTGCAAAGATATTTATGACTACAAATTTTCATGAGATTAATTCACAAGTGCCTAAAGTGTATTAGGTATAACGAAAGCTTTTAGGTGAAGTAAAAAGATCCAGGTCTTGGAGATGATGAAAATTTGCTTTTAACAAGCATTTGATGAAGCTTTTTCTAAAGTTCTATTTTGTTTACTTGCAATATATACATACATATCAATGGGGGGGGGACCCAATCATGCAGTTAGAAGCACAAAAAATGAAAATATATATCTTTTATGCCGTTTGTATGACGTAGTGAAATGCTGGTATACAGGAGAGTTAAATATACCTGAAGAGCAAGTCCCCAATTATTGAGCGCCTGAAATAGATTTGATGAGAGTCGGTTAAAAGGGATAATATAGCAAATATATAACTAAAGAAACAAGAAAGAATGTTTTAAAATTATAAGAAATTGTGACAAACTATTAAAAATTAATTGAGAAGAACCTGAGGACTGTTCCAGTTAAGTTGAACTGCCTTTTCGTAGTTCCTTGTTGCCTGGGAAAAAATGCAAAAAATAGATGAGTGATGATGATAAGCCTCTATCTATTAACCCACCCTTGACAGCAATAACCAAAATGTGAACAGTCCTTCCATTCAAATTCAGCAGGAAATTCAGTTCTTTACCCAGATTTGTGCGAAATATGCATGAAAACCATTAAACCAAAGGCAGCATTTATTTTTACTGACCTGCTTCCATAGCTCTTCAGCTTCCTTTGTGCGGCCCCGCATCTTTGCCCGATCAGAAATTGCTATAGCCCAATTGTAGAAAGCCTGAATAAAATCAAATATAGGGTAAGATGAGAAGTAAAGACTCCCATTTCTGATTAAAACTAGACTCGTACTTATAGGCAAATAGGAACAATTTTGGGCTAATCACACTATATAAATAGACTTTGACAAGGGTACTGTAGTGTATCATCAAAATATGGACAGCATTTTCCTGCAGATAGGTTGGTTACTGATACTGCAGTGTTTGCGAGATAGCAGGGGTGAATACTGCCCCCAGGTATGGATACTGAGTTTGATGAAGGATGCCTGGTTATAAAATGTTGCTCGTGCTAATTCTAATACAATGAAATTATGGGATTACATGGCCAAGGAATTTCAAAAGTATTATGTATGAACAACATAACTTTTTTATTTAACAAAGAGATCAAAGGGTGATATTAATAACAGATCTAGGAGTGTAGAACACATACACAGCAGAATTTTGAGGGTCTGAACCACTCAATGCTAAAAGGTCCTAATTTCCTCTCGCTAATGACAACATGATCCCTCTCTCAACCAGGTTTCCAGTTGTTTAACTTTAGGCATCATGACCAACCCAACCAGACAACTGCAGCCCACCCAAAATGAACTTACACTTCTCCAGCGTCAAACACAAATATGTGAGTGCTCCCATACTCCTCTAGTGCTCTATTTTGTTCTGTATTTTTAGCCATGAAACAGCGTCACTGTCCTTAGTGGGTTGGGTTTGGGCCATTAAATTCATAAATTTATTTCTCCTGCTTCATCAGTCATTCTTCCCTTGAGACAGAGCTCCTCCATCTTTGACAGTGACCACCCCAAATCTGGTTGCTTCTGTGGCAATCCCTGGACTGGAAAACCTGAGACACAAACATATGTAGCCAAGGCAGACCAGTGCTTCACATATTCACCCCATTATGGTCAACCCTCCAGGTCCCTCCCTATCTCTTTCTCCGATGACCTGCAACCCTTCACTTCACCTTTTGAAGCTTGTGACTCACAAGCGAAATTTGATTTACCTTAAAATCAATTCTTGCATCTTCACCTTCAATTTTTTCAAATTCTGCCTCATTATGATGTTCCTTCCTATCTTTTGCACTAAAGTACTTTCTTTTTTTTAAGATTTTGTTGTTTCTTCATATATATGAGGATGTCCTTTACCCTTTTTAAAATTTTGTTGTTTCTTTCTTCATGTACATGAAGAAGTCCTTACTCCTTTGTTCCCCATCCTCCAATGACATCAGTTCAGAATCTATCTTTGTTTCTGATTCCACCAGATCAGCGACTGCTCCATTCCTCAAGACTTCCTCTTCCCCTCTATTTTTATGCTCCAGAGATTCACCTTCATCTTTCAAGACTTCAACATCCCCTCTGTTTTCTTCCTTCCAAGGTCCTTTACCTTCTCTTCATAGTTTTGCACCAACAATTATCATTCTTCTTTGAGATTGACAGCCTAAAACCTGCTACTCTCTATCCTCATTTCTTCAAGAAACTGTTTCTTCATTCTTGCCAAACGAAGAGCCCCTAGATCCTCCCATCTACACTACCCAACTCTCGTATTCATATCATTGAAAGAAACCTTAGATTTATATAGAACATTAGATTTATTTTCCTTATTTGCTCCTATTGAATATTATGAGTATGTATGTTGTATATTAATGAATAAGGAGAAAATAATTTTAAAAGTCATTAAAAATGAAAGTAAATTTGGTGCATTGGTAACAGTTTTTTAAAATCAACTAAATTAATTAATTATTTTTATTGGTTTCTGTGATTCTGTTAGAAATACCTTATATTAAGGACTATACGGAGTATTTAGGACAAAAAATACTTTCATTTGTTTCCTGTATATAGGACCAGAAGTAGTATCATTGTTGGTCACTTGTTCATTATCACATTGATACTGATCAGGGTTATTTCTTTACAAAAATCCCTCACTTCTTCCCAATTCTGATCCAATTTTGTCCTTTTTCACATTTTTATTTAACCAAAAGACTGAAACTCATTCAATAAATTAACTGAGCTTTGAGAATTTTACTGTCAGGCTCAGCTTGTTAATAGCTTGTATAAGAATAAAATATTACAAAAAATACACAATAATATTTATAACTTCTATTTATGTGGATCCATCCCCGTTTTAAAGGGTTTTTGAGTGGTATTTATTTATATTTTTATACTGAGTAAGATTTAAGGTTTGGATTCATTTAGGCTTGACTGCTTTTAGCCCAGCCAAAGAATTTGTAATGTTCAACTCATCTACACTTGTATCCAGATCCTAGCTAAAGTTTTGTTACCCATTCATCTAAAACATCAGGAGAAGGATATTCTTACATACATCATGTAGTGTGGGACAAAGGCGAGTGGCCTCATCATACTTCTTACAAGCCTCCTCCAGCAAAGCATCTTTAGAGGGTGAAGTGGAATCTGGACTAACATTATCTGCACTTTCCTGCGCACCAGAAAGGATTGAATAAACAGTTTATGCAAAGATTGGACCAAGTAAAGAATAACCACAATACAAACAGTAGAGATAGAACTTGAAAAATTTATGTGAGAAAGCATAAGAAGGAAACTAAAACCTAGTAGCCATGCATTATTAAAGTTTGCATAGAAATTGTATCTTTAGGTAACTATGGACCCAAAGGTAGTTAATTAGGTAGTTATAGAATGGTCAATACAATCAAGTGACAGTTAGTGTGTGATGTGATGCATAATATAGAGATTAAGGGTGGTTCATTGGGTAGTTTTCTTATTAATTGCTAAAAGCAGGAGGAAACTTCTTGTTGGGGGGAAACCCTGCATTGTCTAAGTCTTGTACTGTAACTCTGGCCTAAAAGCCAGATGTTTCAAATAATGAATACATAATTCATTGTGCTTATTCTTGAATATAAGATAAACCAATAGAACTTTGTTTGTAATGGATATCCAAAGAATTTTTTGTTAAAATAATATGAAATTGTCATCCCATTTCATCAGAAAATGAAAAAAATTTATTTCAGTTACAATAATAAGAACATAAGTAGCCAATAAAAAGTCCATCACACGAATAGAATATCATGCCAGAATAATTTATACTGGACAATTAGTTGAAACCTTACAATCCAAATATTTGAACCAAAAAAATAAAGGGAAAAAAAGGCTAAGAAGCAAAAACATAAAATATAACATCAAAATCCAGCGACTCCACTAACATCAGACCTGAAGTACTAATGCCCAATTATACAATGCATCATAATCTTCAGGATTCCTCTCAATTGCTGTAGCATACCTAGAAAATCCAATCAAAAAGGTACAAATTTTAGAAAAATAATGACAAGTGCAGAACCTGTCAAGGAGCTCCTACTATTTGCAAAAGATTACAAAGAAGATTGCAGTAGCAAGTTTTCAGTGTGGGTAATTCCTAGTAGCAAATAGAAGTGGCCATGTTACCTCCTGGCAGCAAATGTAAGTATCCTCTGTCGGGACCGGCCTTCATCATCAACACCTACAACGCTATTTATCAAATCCATAGCAGCGCTGTTCTGCTCTGCGTGCTGTTGTTGTTGTTCTAGGCTGAAAATTTTTAAAAATTACAGTGTAAGCTGCATTTCAGGTGTGCACAAAAGGAAAAAAACCACCCCAAAAGTCATACCTTAAATCTATATCACTTTGATTTACCAGAGCTGGAACAAAAGAAATGCGCTAACAGAAGCTAAAATTAGAACCATTTCTTAATTAAATATTTTACACGCCATTTACGATCTACAATTTATATGTTCTACTATTCCGTAGCTAAGCAAAAGATTGCATCAACAAGTAAACCAAACGCATTGTCGTTTTTCGTTTTCCTGATTCAAGGCAAAAGGGCAGTAACCTGTGAGGGGAGTTGGCATCTTCTTTATCCGGTTCCGAATCGTTTTTCAAACCATTCAGCAACTCTCTCATGGTAAACGTTCGATTTCCTTCGTCTTTCCGGAGTTGCGGATTGGGAGAAGGATTGGCGTGCGCATTGGAACGGACCGTCGTTTCCCTGAGATCTGCGTCTTTTACCGTGGGATCAGCTTCTGATTCTGATTTCGGCTCCAATTGTGCTTGCGCTTGTTCTGTTGGCACTGGTTCCAATTCTTGCTGCGGATTTGGTTCGGGTTCGGGCGCCGATCCCGATACCGGTTCCAATTGTGCTTCTGTTCGTTCTGTTGGCACTGGTTCCGCTTTTGGCCGCGGTTCTGGCTCGTGTCCGTTTTGCGACTCCGGTTCGAGCATTTCGTGATGTTAGGGTTTTAGAGAGAGTGAAATGGAGGATTGAGGAGAGTTCTGCTCCGATCCGAGTCGAGAAAGGGGAACTGCAACGACTGAAGAAGGAGACAGCATAAAGGAACTACTTTTAATTGTATCTGCATTTAAACTAATCTAGTGTAAATTATTGATTAATAAAATGTAAATTATATTCATTTTATTTGTGAATGTATTATTTCTTTTTACACTGATGGTGATCATTAGAAACGTTGAACACCGAATAAATAAAAAATAAATAATTGATAGTTGCAAAAACTAAGATAATATTAGGTGTACATATGGAAATATCTATATTTTAATTTTAATTAAGTATTTAAAAATTTAAAACATATTATATTTTTTAAATTTCTATTTGTAGCTTTGGTAGGAATTAAATTTTATAAATGTTTTTAAGCTATATTATATTTTTTGAAAATTATATAATATTATGTGTAAATTAAAAAAAATATCGCAATCAATATATTCATCCTACGATAATATTCAATTTAATATAATGAATTGGATAAATTTAAAATATCTCTTGCTTATATACTATTTTTCAAACCCGTAAAATACAATTATTCTTTTGTGTTTATAGTAAACAGCTTCTAATGTATTTTTTAAAATTAAAATTAAAATTTAATTACCCAATCTTATAAACCTATTTACATATTGTTGATTTTTCGATTAGAAAGATGGTTTTGTATATATTTGACGGGTTTGAAATGTAGTATAAAAGGATATTTTTGTTGTATTCTGTTATAATTCATGTGCCTAGGATCCCAATCTTCTCAGAGCTCTAAGGATTAAGCCCAAATTCTATAGGATAGGAATTGAAGATACCACACTCAGATCATCGGTGAATCTATCAGGCACACTCCAAAGTGATCCAACCATTCCGGTCTATAGATTCATTAAGAGAACTTAAACACATGCAGGAAGAAGCACATAGACCATAGGGAGGGTGACAATTCATTTCTCACCAGTTGTTCCCATTGAACCTAGGAGAATATAACCTGATTGGGTTGCCGTAAAGTACAATTAAGGGCTTTTCCCATCCTCTGGATGTTCTTTTTTCCTTGCCAAGGCCTTTTGACACGGGATCAACCAGAGCTCATATATGCTAAGAGCTAACAGATTCCAGTTGGTAAGGAAAGATAGGAGGTGATTAAAGATGTTGTTACAGTTCTTTGGTAGTTAAATTTGTATATAAGAGTTATCTCTTTATTGTATTTGATACATTTTCATATAACACTTACGCAAATATACAAACACGTAGTGTGCATACGTGTACGTGCAGTATTTCTTAATTCTTCTCTGTTCTCCAACAAGTGGTATCAGAAGCAAAGATTCAGATCTTGGGAACGAAATTCATGGCAGCCAATGGAAGCGGAAATTTCGTATCTAACCTACCAGTTCTTGATGGCAAGAACTATAATCATTGGGTCATTCGAATGGAGGCTATTCTTGGTTATCAAGAATTGCTGAAAGTGGTCAGAGATGGTGCGAAGGAGAAAGACGAAGCTGCAAACAGAAAGAAGGATTGCAAGGCTCGTTGTCTTCTTCATCAATGTGTGGATACGGTGAATTTCGAAAAGATCTCCAAGGCGAAAACAGCGAAAGAAGCTTGGGATATTTTGCAGAAAGTACATGGAGGAGCAGAGAAAACCAAGAAGGTGAAACGACAAGCTCTCAAAAGGCAGTTTGAGTTGATGACCATGTTGGAATCAGAGAGTGTTTTGGTTAATTCGATAAGAGCATGTGGAGCAGATGTGACAGAACAGTGTATGGTTGAAAAAATATTACGTACTCTCTCAATGAAGTTCGACTACATTGTAGTGCCTATAGAGGAGTCAAAAGATACAAAGGAGATGACAGTGGAGGAGCTGCAGGGATCGCTAGAAGCTCATGAATTGAAGCTTGTAGCAAAAAATGTTGTGAAGATAGAAGAAGAACAAGCGTTAGCTGCTATAAAAAAATGAGGTTTTTCGCGTGGAAGATGGAAGAAAAATAGAAATGGTGGTCGTTTTGATAAAGAAGGTGGTTCTTTAAATTAAGAAAAGAACATAGGAGGTTCTGGGGAACGTACAGAACAAATGAGAACTGCCAGAGGTAGTTTTGGCAGAGGAAGAGGAGGAAGAAATAATCAAGATTTGAGAAAGATTCAATGCTACAACTGTGAGAAGTGGGGGCACTATGCTGCTGATTGTTGGTTTGGAAAAGGCAAAAAAAAAAAAAAAGAGGTTAAGGCTGAAGCAAACGTGGCACAAGATGAAGCCAATGAAGAACCTGTTGTATTGATGGTTACTTCCAATGAAGAAGGTTTCATAACAGGTAATTGGTTCTTGGATATGGGTTGTTCCAACCATATGATAGGTCATAGAAATTTGGATTTCGAATGGGAAAGAAGTGATCATAATAGAGAGTGTGTTATATGTTCCTGGAATGAAATGTAACTTGTTAAGTGTTGGACAACTAGTTGAGAAGGGTTTCACTGTCACAATGCAGGGAGAAATGTTGAAAGTTTATGATGCAAGGAAGAAATTGGTGTTGCAATCACCACTGTCCAAGAATAGGACATTTCAAACAAGGCTAGATCCTGTTGAACAGCACTGTCTAGCAGCCACAATTATTGATAAGTGAAGCTGGTTATGGCATCAAAGGTTTGGACATTTGACTTTCCATAGTCTCAAGAAATTAGCTGATAAAAATATGGTGATTGGTCTGCCTGAAATTATTGTTCCAAGAAAATTGTGTGAAGAATGCTTAGTTGGAAAACAGTCCAGAAATGTTTTTGATTTGCATATGCATGAGAGCCAAGAGTGTGCTACATGTTGTATATTCAGACGTATGTGGTCCATTTGAAGAGCTATCACTTGGAAAGAATAAATATTTTGTAACATTTGTTGATGAATTCAGTAGGATGATTTGGCTATATCTTATCAAAGCCAAAAGTGACGTGTTGGCACTCTTCAAACGTTTCAAAGCTATGGCAGAAAAACAGTGTGGAAAAGAGTTGAAAATCTTGAGAACTGATGGAGGAGGTGAGTATGTGACCAAAGAGTTTAAAGAATATTGTATTGGGCTGGGAATCCAACATGAGACGACAACACCCTATATCCCACAACATAATGGGTTGGCTGAAAGGAGAAACATGACCATTCTTGATATGGCTAGGAGTATACTGAAACAGAAAAACTTGCTTCATTCTCTCTGGGGAGAAGCAGTGTCTACTGTTGTGCATATTTTAAACAAGTGTCCTACCAAGAAGCTTGGAGATAAGGTCCCGGAAGAAATCTGGTCTGGCAGAAAACTAGTGGTGAGTAATCTGAAAATTTTTGGTTCTGTGAGTTACAAACATACTCCAGACGCTAGGAGGAAGAAGCTAGAAGATAAATGTACTGCAATGATAATGGTAAGATATCATCCTACAGGCACATATAGACTCTACAATCCTGCTACTAATGAAGTTTGTATCAGTAGAGATATTGTGATAAGTGAAGATGAGTCATGGAACTAGAAAGAAGCAACAGATATGGCTGGAAGTCAGATTGTTTCAGTAACAATTGGAGATGAAAGTAAAGAGTTAGAGAGCAATCAGGTCGGTGAAACAAGGCTCACACAACAGCAAGTATAAAGAGAACCAAGGAAGAGAACCATGCCAAGAGCATTGATTGACTTTGAAGTTTATCCAGATAATGCTATAAATAATGAAGGAGATTTGGTTCATTTCGCATTACTGGCATAAGCAGAACCTATTGATTATGAAGAAGCTATGAAGCATGAGGTGTGGAAGGCTACAATGATGGAAGAATTGCATTCAATTGAGAAGAGTGGAACCTGGACATTGACATAATTGCCTCTGAACAAGAAACCCATTGATGTAAAATGGGTTTTCAAGTTGAAATTACATTCAAATGGAGATATTGATAAAATGAAAGCAAGACTTGTTGCACGAGGATTCCTGCAGAAAGAAGGTCTAGACTACACGGAAGTTTTTGCTCCTGTAGCTAGAATTGAAACTATAAGGTTGGTGGTAGCTTTGGCAACTGGAAAAGGTTGGCCTTTGTTTCAACTTGATGTGAAATCGGCTTTTCTCAATGGTCCACTTGAAGAGGAAGTATATGTCACTCAACCTCCTGAATTTCCGGTTAAAGGGAGTGAAAATAAAGTTTTCATATTAAAGAAGGCTTTATATGGGTTGAAACAGACACCAAGGGCCTGGAACAAGTTGATGGATGTGTTTATGATGAAGCATCAGTTTGTAAAATGTCCAGTGGAGCATGGAGTCTATGTTAAAATTCTGGATGAAACCAATATGTTGTTAATGTGCATATACGTTGATGATTTGCTTCTTACGGGTAGCAATCAAGCTGAAATAAGTAGATTCAAGGAGTTATTGATGGTTGAATTTGAGATGATTGATCTTGAAAGATTAAAATACTTCCTTGGAATGGAGTTTGTTGAAGTTAGTAAAGGAGTAATCTTATATTAGAAAAGATATGCAGCAGAAATTCTGAAGAAATTTTGCATGGAGAATTGCAATCCAGTTGTAATACCAGCTGAGACAAAGGTTCCAGTGATTGAAGGTGATGAAGAAGAAGCTGACAGCATACTCTACAAGTAAATTGTTGGTTCACTTAAAAGGACTATTGATTTTGAGCAGATTTATGCATCAGCCAAGGAAGAAGCATGTGCTAGCTGCAAAATGGGTACTATGATACATTAAAAGGACTATTGATTTTGGAATTCTATTTCCTAAGTCAGATCAGATGCAGGGCAAACTACTGGGTTTTTCTTATGCAGATTAGTGTGGTGATAGCAATGATAGAAGGAGTACTACAGAATACTTGTTCAAGTTCATGGGTGCACCAATTTCTTGGTGTAGCAAGAAGCAACCTGTTGTTGCTTTATCCACATGTGAAGCAGAGTATATAGCAGGTTCAAATGCTGCATGCCAAGCAGTTTGGCTTGATTCACTCATGACAAAAATAAGGGTACAGATTGAAAGGCATATTCAACTGTATGTTGATAGTAAATCAACCAGAAATTTGGCAAATAATCCTATGTCTCATGGAAGGAGTAAGCACATTGAAACTAGGTTTCATTTTTTGAGGGAGCAAGTGAATAATGGGATATTGAAGGTGGTTTACTGTCCTACTCAGTATCAAGTGTCCTACTCAGTATCAAGTGGCTGACATTTTTACCAAATATTTGAAGAAGGAGAGGTTTGAAATGATAAGGAATGAACTAGGTGTTGGTAGTTTGAGAAATTGAATTAAGGGGGAATGTTGTATTCTGCTATAATTCAGTTTCTGTTTGGTGTTGTTACATTTCTGTTTTTGGTAGTTAAATTTGTATATAAGAGTTATCTCTCTTTGTTATATTTAATACCTTTTCATATATCACTTACGCAAATATACAAACACGTAGTGTGCAACGTGCAGTATTTCTTAATTTTTTCTGCTCTCCAACAATTTCCAATTTATCCTAATCACTATATTAAACTTTGAATATTATCATAATCGTTGGATGAATATATTGATTGCAAATTATTTTTAAAAAAAATGACATAATATTATATAATTATTAATAAATATAATATATTTGAAATTTTTTAAATACTTAATTAAAGTTATATATATATATATAAACAAAAAAAAAACTAAATAATTAAAGCAGATTTCTTATGACATTCGAATTAAAAAGAAGTGGTTATGCATAAAATGAAACACAAAATAATGCATACATAAATTATTACGTAATGTAACATTAATTGTGACAAATAAAAAAAATGAAAAACGTAATGCAGTTTTTAAATTTTATTTTTAAGATTAATTTGAAAAATAAAATATTTGAAAATTTTAACTTGGAAATTATTATAATGATAAAAGATT